TAACAACATGAGATTCAACTTGGAAGAGTGCATCTGTGGGAAAGAATCCAATGCCCAGACACGCAGGGGGAGGGACAAGCCTGGGAAGCAGTGATGGCCAGAAGAGGGTGGGAGTGACAGGGGATAGCAAATTAGGCATGAGTTTGCAATGGGATGTAGTAGTAGCAAGAGTCCAGTGCAATTTGGGGTGGCACATGCAGCAGGGGCTACATCTGGAAGAGTGAATTAATTGCTGGCCACTGCAATACCAGAACAATACTGACAAACTGGAGGGAGTTCAATGAAATGCAGCTACAATTATAAGGAAGCTGAGGGGACTGGGGCTGGATCAAGGCCCAGGTACCACAGGCCCATGCCAAAGGCCCCAGCTCCTGCAGTCACATGATAAGATCAGAATCTCAGCTTTCATTTTAAAAGAATTGTGTTTCTAACCCTCACAGACACAAAGAAAGCCTGAAAACATGGTGTGAGTGTAACCTGAGTTTGCAGAGAGCCTGAAACAATAGCTTCAAGAAGTGTACGCTGCCCTATTCATCTTAACTCTGAAACCTGCTACCGCACCAGAAGGGGCAAGGCCACAGCCTGGGGGTGGGCCATATGACCTCAGCATGGGATGGCCCTAGGGTCCTGGATTGCCTTATCTCAGCCTAGGAGGGACTGATATATAAAATGAGATTAAGGTCCAGATTGTAACTACGTGCCCAGGGTTGCGGGGGAAGGGCAAGAGGAGCCTTCCCCACCCACCGCTGCAATATGAGTTGAAAGCATAGGCCAAGTGCCAGGCTCACCCCAATGGTGGCACCAGCCGCTCCAGCAGGGGAAGGGATGAGGAGAGGGCAGGACTGCGGAGCTCCCCCACTCCTCACTGGCCAGCAGCACTGAGGAATGTGCACTCTGCATCTTTTTAGGGGGGAGTGGGTTGCTTAAAATGCCTCTTTAGAGTCTCTTGGGCTCCCATTGGGCTGTGCTTTGAAGGCCCAACCCAGCTCTGGAAGTGCTACATCTGTGTCACGCGGCTGGGTTGGGGAACATCTGAAGGGTGGAAACAGCCAGGAGAGGGGTTAGGATGGCACAAAAGAGTGTGATTGGGAGCAATGGGGTGGGGTTAAGGAGGCTGAATAGCAGCAAAGCCTTCATGCCAGAGAGATCTACCAGTCGGGGCAGAAGCTCTGTGAACTGTGAAAGGCATGCTGGGCAAAGCCCTCGCACGTGTCCTAGAGGGGACAATCCTGGCCCTGGGGGAGGGGCTGGGTGTTCTAACAGGCCTATCCTGTCCCCAATTTCTGTGAGGAGTCAGGCCCCAATGCAGAAGGGAGGGGGCCACTTCCTGTGGGAGTCGGACCCGTCAACTGCTGACCCGGTCAAGCCCAATATCGTCACTGGTAGTGCGGTGGCAGCTAAGAGCAGGTCCCCAGGGTGCCAGGCACTGAGCAGAGAGACACGGTTCTGCCAGCCTCGCAAGATCAAAAATTGAGACAGCCCCCCCCCCCCAAATCACAAGATTGGCCCTAAATATCATGAGATTGGCTCACAAAATTGTGAGGGGTCCCCCTCCCAAAAAAAGACTAGATGGTGTTTTTTAGTTTGTCTGTTTATTGCTGCAACCCCACCCCCCCCAGCCCAGACCCAGCACGTGTGGGTCACACTCAGTGTCGCCCTCTCTCCCGAATGTATTGGCTGAGTGATTTTGGCCCCATCTGCCTGTCCCCTGCCCAGTGATGTATTCTGCTCCCACCCAGTTTCTCTCATCCATCCAGCCTCCTCTCTGCTCCTGGGACTCTTCACTCCCTTCTCCCCAGCCTGGAGGGGGCTGCAGCAGGGTCCCCTCTCTCCCTTCCAGGCTTGGGGTGGGGGGAAGCTCCAGGAGCTCTTCACCCCTTCAGCCCCCTCCCAGGCCAGGTGCTGCAGGGAGCAGGCGCAGAAGAACCATCTCCCATTGCTCACAGGAGAGGAGGAGGGAGCAGAACTGCCCTGAGCAGCTGGGCTTTTTATCTCTCCTCTCTCCGCCTAGGACAACGGCTTTGGGGCGCTAAGGGGGAAAAGAGCTCTTCCTACAGAAGCTCTGATTGGTTGCTCAGCCCCAGGAGGTGAAGCAAGTGGGGGGCGCAGCCAATCAGAGGCAGATTCCCCCCAGGCAGGGCTACATTTGGCCAGAAGGTTGGAGCATCTCTGGTCATTGCAAAACGGGCGCTGGCCTCGGCTGAAATCCCATCCCTGGGAGAGCTGGCCACACGGGAGACAGGCTCTGCCCCAAAGAGCTTCAGTCCTAAGTAAATGAAGGGTGGGAGGGGAAACGGAGGCACAGGGAAGGGGCGTGATTGGCCTAAGACAGAGGTGGGCAAACTACGGCCCACGGGCCACATCCGGCCCGGCCCCTGAGCTCCTGGCCCAGGAGGCTCACCCCCGGCCCCTTCCCCGCTGTTCCCCCTCCCACGCAGCCACGCCACCGCATGGGCAACGGGGCTGCGAGCTCCTGCCACAGCGAGCGGCATGGGGCGGGGGGGGCAGCGTGCTCGCACAGCGGTGAGAGGGTTGGGTAGGGTATCCTGGGGGGCAGTCAAGGGACAGGGAGCTGCTGGTGGTTGGATGGAGCGGAGGTTTTGGGGCGCTCAGGGGTCGGGGAAACAGGGCGGGTTGGAAAGGGGTGGGAGTCCCGGGGGGGCTGTCAGGGGGCGGGGGTGTGGATAGGTCGGGGCAGTCAGGGGACAGGGAGCAGGGGGGTTGGATGGGTAGGAGGTTCTGAGGGGGGCAGTCAGGAGGCAGAAAGTGGGAGGGGTCGGATGGGGGCTGGGGTCAGGTTGTTTGGGGAGGCACAGCCTTCCCTACTCGGCCCTCCATATAGTTTCACACCCCGATGTGGCCCTCGGGCCAGAAAGTTTGCCCACCCCTGGCCTAAGAGGACACAGCAAGCGTGGCAGAGCCCGGATTAAACCAGTAATAACCAGAGACAGGCCTGCACCAGAAGTCCAGATCAGAACTCTCCTGACCTCTGGGGAGGGGCAGAGTCAAACTCAAACCCAGCTCCAGGTTTCCCATTGGGTGGTTTCTGTAGCAGGAACCCCAAGTCCATTCCAGATGCCCTGAAATGGAGGATGCCCAGGCAGGCCTCTCTCCAGCAACAACACGGGGCCTGAGAAGAGTTTTGTTCCATTCCAGGGGCTAGAGGCTGTGCAGAAATCAACACGGGCGTTGCTGTGAGCTTCTCTCTGCTAACCCGTCCTCTGGGGGCCTGGGTTTTGTTCCAGGGGCACAGCATCCATGAAGCATGAAGGGAAAGAGGGCTGCAGCAGGCAAGCAGGAGCAGAGAGCTGGCCAGCTGTGGTGGGAGGGAGGGGGGAGAAGAGGAGGAGGAAGGTAGATGGACTGGCCTCCTTCTCTGCCTTCATGTCATGGCTCTGGAGAGGAAGTGGAAAGCGGAAAAGCAGAGTCAGGCAGGAATGTGCTGCTCCAGCCAAATCGCTGGCTGCCCCAGCCTCTGGCCACACCCAGCTCTGCCTGGGTAGGAGGGACAGTGCCTGGACTCTCAGCCAAAGAGCCACTATTTCCCCACTAAAAAGAACAGGAGGACTTGTGGCACCTTAGAGACTAACCTATTTATTTGAGCATAAGCTTTCGTGAGCTACAGCTCACTTCATCGGATGCATACGAAAACTTATGCTCAAATAAATTGGTTAGTCTCTAAGGTGCCACAAGTCCTCCTTTTCTTTTTGCGAATACAGACTAACATGGCTGTTACTCTGAAACCTATTTCCCCACTGTTAGGGTGACCATATGTCCCTTTTCGAACGGGACAGTCCCTTTTTTAAGACCAGTCCTGGCTGTCATGAAGTTTTTTGACAAAAGTGGGCATTTGTCCCGTTTGCTCTTCTCGACTTGATCAGTTGGCAAGAGCAAACGGGACAAATGCCCACTTTTGCCAAAAAGTGGGGTGTGTTGGAATGTGCCGGATGGGGCCAGTGGGGGGGGGGGGGGAGGCAGGCAGGGTTCCAGTGACCAGCAATCCTAGCCTCGGGGTGGGGTGGGGGGGCAACGGAGGGGGCAGGCAGGTAGTCCCAGCCTCACACGGAGGGAAGGTGGGTTCCAGAGAACCCAGCATGGCAGGAGTAGGGTGGTGAAACACGGGTGAGCGGTTTGGGGGGACGGGGACGGGGGATAGGATTTGGGCCAGTCCCACGCAGTGTCCCGTTTTCCCTTTAGGAAATATGGTCACCCTACCCACCGTGCCTCCAAAAGAGCTCTTGGCCACAGGCAATTCACTGCGGCTAAGAGAGTTAGTCCCCATTCGTGTCCCTAACCGTCCCTTTGCAATAGAAACAGGCCAAGCTGCACTGCTGCATCCAAACGGCCCTGTTGTTTGGATCAGTGTCCAGGTTGCCAGGCTGTTGGGGAGTGGAACAGGATCTAGCCATCCCCAGCACTGGGGGAGGATTGGGTCTGCCGGCCTCTGCTGCTAATTAACCCTAAACCAAACCCCTCTCCATTTCCAATCCAATTTGGAGCAGCCAAGCAGCGAGAGCAGAGGCACAAAGAGCCCTCCCCATGCTCCACAGAAGTCAATGGGGCTTACTCATGGCAGCAAGGGGTTGTAGGAATTTGCTTTTGACCTGCAGCACCCCTGCTATTACACTCCTAGGACACCCCGCCCCCCCAGCACACATCTCCTGGCTGCAGCACCCCCTACTATTCCAGTCTGCTCCTCCAATGCATCTCAGCCCTGATCTGCAGTCCCCTTGCATCTGCCTTTCAGACTCAGGCAGCCAGTTGTAGTGGACTGTGTGACCTCTCCAGAGGTGTCTGCCTCTGGCATTATCCTTACTATGTCAGGGAACCCCAGTTAGAGCATCCTCTAGCAGAACCTTCTCAGGGCTCAGAGCAAGCAGCCTCCTTGGGGGAAGTGATGAAGAGAGCTCCAGACACGCCCCGGACAGCTGCACGCCACATTTCCCTCCACAGCCTGACGCTGCCGTGCGCTCTCTCTGGTTTGGGGGCGGATTATGCATTTTTTCCACTAACTTGTTTTCATGCCTTTTTTTTTCTTTTAAAGGCACAATGTTTTCTTTGAAACAGACAGAAAGTAACTGCCCGTTCGCTGCCTGCACAAGCCCCACCCTGATGCAAGGCTGAGACTTTTCCCTCCCACCACACAACATCTAACAACAGAGGACCCCTTGGCATACAGAAAGGAAGCTGTTGAAAATAAACGCTATTTTGAACTGTTTTAACTTCTTGTGCTGGCACTTTCTGAGCTGGATCCCACTCTCCTCCTCTCCCTGCAGAGGGGGAGCCAGCTACACTGGGAGCGTAGCCGAGAAGGCTCTGAAAACGGATTTAACAACCCTTAAGTAAGTGGCTTAGTTTTCTTCTTGTCTTTACATTTGTTCCAGGGTAGCCCTGAAATAGAGGCTGCTTACAAATAATCACATGCACCACCCTAACTGGGAATGAAATCCATTAGCGAGGGGAGACTTCTCCCCGAGGATGGAGCATTCCTGTTTGTCACCCAAACTGAGTTTTCCTTGGCCTGTTGCTAGCTCCAGTCCTTGAAAGAAAGGGTGGCATGGTTTTGGTTTTGTGCAATCGTTCTGTGTTCCCCTGAATAATAGTCCTGGATTTTTATCATCCCATTTCAGGTTTAGAGTCTTTGAGGAACACTGCACAACACAAACTTTATGGCTGTCAAGATCATGAGTCTGATTCTTCACCCAGATTCTCTAGTTTTATGCTAGTGTAAGTCTGTTGATCAGTGAGTTTGACTGGTGTAAAACTGGGGTACTGCCGTAGGGAATTAGGGCCCTAGTTTTTAATGTTTAAACCCATAGTGATTTTAAAGAATAACTGTAATGGAATCACAAATGGATAGAAGTAATAGAGAGCACTGGACTGAACTCACCTCCCTCCCCCCACCCCCCGTGATAACCCATGGACTTAAATAGGGCTACACTGGGGTAGGTAGGGTGGTAACTGACCCATTGTGAACTATTGATCTCAGGCATCAGGTTTGGACTAGCTCTCTGCCATAATTTCACTAGGATCAGCTCAGTCTTCCAGAGGCCTGTAAACTAAGTACCAGATGTGTGTGTGTCTTTCACAGGAGACCTTAAAATCTGGGTTCCCTTTATCTGATTGGCCTGAACATGAAAGATCCCCTGCTACTTTTCAGAGAAGTTGGGGTTTCCATGGCACCAATTTTATATTCGCCATCTGCATGCAGGATGTGGGGCTGGCCCTTTCACAAAGGTCGTAGCTAGAGATCTAGCCAGGTGGCATTTGATCTGCAAGGAGGCCATGCCTCTTTGGGATCTGCCATGATCAGGAGGAGGATGGGTCTCTACAGTCAGCTCCCAGAGGGCTACGTGCCATTCAGGAGATGCAAAAGACTATGGGGTAGGTACTGATACAAACTCCAGGGTAGGTTTACCAGCCTCTCAGATGGGCCTTTGTCAAAGCTCTAGTCTCAGTGAGTTGAATCATAGCTCCTACCTGAAATCTTGGTGCTTGATGGGTTTGGCTGAGGTTCATGTCAGTTAAACCTGGAGAGCAAAGTGAAACCCAAGGGATTGAGAAATCCAGCCTGATGACCCAGAACTGCTGCCTTTTCACACACAGCTCCCCGCCCATCTCCCCCTGCAGGGGTGGCTGCACTTCAGTGCTGCTGGTCTATGTGAGAAGCAGTGTTGCCTGGTGGATAAAGCACTGGACCAGGGACTCAGGAGACTTGGGTTCTATTCCTGGCTATGCCACTCACTGATTGCTGGGTGACCTTAGGCAAGTCACTTCACCGCGTGGGCCTCAGTGTTACCATTTGTAAAATGTTGGTAATGATACTGACCTCCTTTGTAAAGTGCTTTGCGATCTACTGATAAGAGCTAGGTGATAACATATGTATTCCAGGCTCCCATCCTACAAGCCCACTGAAATCAAGGGGTTTCCTTGTCTGAGGGCTGCAGGAGGGGGCCCATAATTAGCAAAGTGCTTTGGGATCCCCAGAAATGATAGGTGCAATGCTATTCTGGTGTAAGGAGCTCAGAGGGGGAACCACGCAAGCTAGTCAAATGCCGCTTGGGAGTGACCTGCGATGGGATTTCACTGTTGCCTTGTCCAAGAATCTAAGCCGGGCCCTATTGCATGGCAGCCGGGCTGTGACAGTAGAAAGCAGGTGGTAACCAAGCCCCAGCTAGTGGGTGAGTGTAGGGCTGATGTCAGCTGCATTGATACAAACCCGATGTGCTCTCCTACGGGTGATACATTGCACGCCCGTGGATTGACTTTTGGTGAAGACAGACAGAGGCCTGGGAGACTTGCTGCTACCAGACCACCCGGCTTCGTTCTCGTTCCGTTCTCCAAACACCAGAGCAACCCGCTCTGGTTTCTGGGTATTGCTACTCAACTGGCCTTTCCTGTACTAATGAAAACTGTAATCGCACCAGCCAGCAGAAGGCCTTCTATTGCCCTCTGTGCACATCACCACATGACACAGGAAATCGGAGCTAGGCCCAGGGCTTATCTTCAGGGCATCAGTTAGCTCAAGTTGCTGCACTCAAGTGAGCCTAGTGAGAGAGATCACACTTCACAACAATGCTGGAGTTACCCAGAGCGATTGGGCCGGCAGCAGTGTGTGACTGGATTAGCTGCTGAGGACTTGCTGTAAGGGGAGCGGTTGCAACCCCCTTATTAGCTCGAGCATCAGCAAGTTGCAGTAATGGAGCTTCAACGCATTCCTAGTTCCAGTTTAAAGCACCACTTACAGGACCGGTGCAAGGATATTTTGCATCCTAGGTGAAACTTCCACCTTGCGCCTCCCCTCCTTCTATCCCCCCCCGCCAACCTCTGAAAACTAGTAAACTTCGCCTTATAAACAGCCTGTCAGAATGGGTAATGGCTGTTGTAATGTTTCTTTTTTACCTTTAAGGTGTTTCAGTGGTCTGCCATTGCCTCTGATGGTGTCCCATTCAAAGTCTTACTATTGTGCAAAGCTGAACAACTGAGCCTTGCATTGCATCACCAGCCAGGTTAGGCAGGGTGACAAATCCCCCTTGCCCCAAAGGGCCATTATCCCCCAGTGACTCATTTCTACTCCAAGTCTGTACTCATTAAGGTAAATATGTTATTCCTTCAATATTACCCATGCACACATCTCTATTGCTGAGGGGCAGGTACCAGCGGGGGGAGCCAGGCACCCCAAGCCCAGGGCAGCAGCAGGAGCAGGCGGGGAGCGTAGGTGCCCTGGGCTCGGGCTGCCCGGCTCCCCCCAAGCAGTGCCCGGTTCCCGCTGCTCTCGGCCGGCAGGTGCAGGGCCCCAGCCAAGCTTGGCCCCTTGCATCTCCTCCATGGCGGCGCCCATGTCCTCCCGGGGGGCCGTGGCAGCAGTGGCTGGGGAGCCTGAGAGGAGGAGTGGCCCCCGGGCAAGCAGGGGAGACTCCGAGGTGAAGAGACTGCTGGCCCTGGTGCAGCCCGAGCGCTGGAGACTGACAGGTACCTACCCCTAAGGAATAGTGTAAAAAAAAATTGGGGGGCACCGCTTTTTGGCACCCCCAAATCTTGGCGCCCTAGCCAGCTGCCTAGTTTGCCTAGTGGTTACACCGGCCCTGACCACTTAACTTGAGCTAGAGATTTTTGTGTGTGAATGCGAGTCAAGTTGGGGTAATTTTCAAGTATAACTGTGAAGACACACCCTGAGACATAGAGGGTATGTCTATGCTACAGTATAAGCCCAGGTTTAGTAGAACTCAAGCTAGCAGACATGGGTTTCTTAGCCTAGGGCTTGAGCATCTATACTCATTGGAAACCCCAGGTTAGGAATTGTTGAACCCTGGGTGCCAACTTGAGGGTCCAGTATCTACACTGTATTATGTGGACCAGATCCACAACCCATATCCCAGAGTTCCTACCGCTCTCCCAAAACGTGGCCATTCAAGCCCTTCGTTTGTGGTGCATTATGGGAAAACTTGACTGTCCAGGGGACAAAGAAAGACAGCACATGGGATTGTGGGATACGCTTGGTGGACTCCCAGAGCATGTGTCCAGTGGCACTGCATCTACACTGCAAAGGAATACGACTTGAACCCTGGGTCCTGGCTTGACCCAGGCTCAGACCCGCCACTCCCTTATGGGCCTGAGACCCTGAGTCGGATTAGTGTGATTTATGGGTAGATGGAAGGGAGGTTAGGCTTGAACATGAGTTTGAACCCTAGGTTTACATCGCAGCGTAGACGTATCCTGAAACTTTTATGCTGTATTAAAACACCCAGAGAGGCACCTTTCCTTGTATCCATTCTAGGAACAGGGACTCGTGTTAGTCACAAGACACCCATCCATTCATCATCAACAGTACTGGTCACTTGCAACTATTAGTTCAATCCAAACCTACCATACTAGGCCTAAATACCTGTGATTATCATCAGACCCTGCCCTTCTGCAGAGCCTTTGGCCCGAGGATCTCCACACTGCTGTTACTAATACTCATTCGTTAGGCCCCAGGAGACAGATCACTCGAATCAGAATCTGCAACTGCTGAGGCAGTAAAGCTGACCTAGGAGGAAAACCTCAGTCCTATTCAACTCCCAGAGAAGTGAGTGTGATTTGCCCCAGGGTTACACAGCAAAACAGTAGCAGAGGTGGGAACACAATCGAAGAGTCCCAACTCCACACCTCTGCTCTAATCATTAGATAACACTGCCTTTCTTTGTTGCAGATTTACAGGATCTTCTAGTATGGAATGATAAAGCTCATGCCAGTCTGCTGCCTCTCGAATATTGGCTCTATGATTCACATTTCTCAGTGCTGTTATTGTCGTTGTAGCCAGCGTGAGGAGAGAGGACCCAGGCTGCTGTAGGCATCTCCGATTGGGTGCTCAATCCAAGATGGCTGCCCTCATCACTGAAAACTTCCGCTTCCTTTCTCTGTTCTTCAAAAGCAAAGATGTGATGATCTTCAATGGCCTGGTGGCCCTGGGCACGGTGGGCAGTCAGGAACTCTTCTCTGTGGTCGCCTTCCACTGCCCCTGCTCTCCGGCCAGGAACTACATCTATGGACTGGCTGCCATTGGAGTCCCAGCCCTGGCCCTGTTCCTCATCGGCGTCATCTGGAACAACCACACCTGGAATTTGGTGGCCGAGTGCCACAAGAGAGGGGCCAAGAACTTCTCAGCTGCAGCCACCTTCCTGCTCTTCGGCTCCATCATAGGGCGGGCTGCCGTGGCCCCTGTCACCTGGTCAGTCATCTCATTGCTCCGCGGAGAAGCCTACATCTGTGCCCTCAGTGAATTTGTGGATCCTGCCTCCCTAGATGAATTTCCATCAAGATATGGACCGGAGACCCTGGCCAAGTTCCCTTGTAAGGACATTCCAGGGAACTTGACAAGTTTTAAGGAAGAAGTTATAAGAAGACTAAGATATGAGTCCCAGGTATTGATTTACTTGTATGTCTGGGTGTGAAAGGAATGTTGACAAGGAGTTAAAGGAGACGGGGAGCCAGGTCTCCTGTGTACTATTTCTGGCTCAGGATGAGAGTGAGACTGAGAGCAAAGATTCCAAGGCTCAGAGACAGAAATTGAAATCCTGGTCCCACTGAAGTCAATGGGAGTTTTGCCATTTACTTAATTGAAGCCAGGATATTACATAGTGTTGTCTAGTGGTTAGAGCAGGACACCTGGGCTGTATTCCCGACTCTGCCACTGACTTACTGTGTGACCTTGGGAAAGTTACTTTCCCCTTCTGTGCCCCATTATCTTCCTCTCTGAGGGAGATAATACCCACTTTCCCCTCTGTGGCTCAACCTATGTACCAATAAATTCTCTTTGAAACTGCAGCATTGGGAAGCCAAGATAAGCAAAATGGGGAAAGTGGCCCTGAAACACTCAGCTCTGTTCTGAGCTGTGACAGGGCAGGATGCCCATCCTGTCTCTTTTCAAGCCACGAACCACTCAGAGCTCCATATTTACAATATCGTACACTCCTTAACTCACTTGGCCAAGGAGCGGGGAGACAGGAGGTACCTTCCACATCGGAAGTGGGGGGTGAGGGGGCAGCAGCATCAGGGCCCACTCAGGCTCCACCTCCTCTTGAGCACATTCTTCCTGTGGTAGCTTTCTCCAGCCCATCGCCAGTCTATCAGTTAGGCACAGCTTTGCCCCTTCGGTTCACTCTGGGGTGATTTAATTGCTGTTCCCATGATCAGAGAGCTGGTAGAGCTCTGTCTACCCAGCCCTCTGTCACAGCAGCCCATGCCTGTGAGCACCGCGTGTCCAGAAATCTGGAGTGAGTTACACCTACTCTGAGGTGCGAGCTGTCCCAGGACCAGGGTTAGCTCCCAGAAACCTGTACACTTTTTACATTAATAATCTGCTTTGGGGGGAAGTTTGCTTTTAAGACACATGTTCATGGCTTTGTGAGGACCTACCGAAAAGAAAAAGAAAAAATGCAGCATGTGTTAGGTGCAAGAGGACAATACATTATCCAGACACCGGGAGATCAGTTATCAGAACCAACTCCACATCAGCTGACCCAGCGCTTTGCAGCACCATAGAATCATAGGTTTCAGAGTAACAGCCGTGTTAGGCTGTATTCACAAAAAGAAAAGGAGAACCAATTTATTTGAGCATGAGCTTTCATGAGCTACAGCTCACTTCATCGGATGCATACTGTGGAAAGTACAAAAGATCTTTTTATAAACACACAAAGCATGAAAAAATACCTCCTCCCACCCCACTCTCCTGCTGGTAATAGCTTATCTAAAGTGATCACTCTCCTTACAATGTGTATGATAATCAAGTTGGGCCATTTCCAGCACAAATCCAGGTTTTCTCACCCTCCCCCCCCCCACACAAACCCACTCAGAATCATAGAATATCAGGGTTGGAAGGGACCTCAGGAGGTCATCTAGTCCAACCCTCTGCTCAAAGCAGGACTGATCCCCAACTAAATCATCCCAGTCAGGGCTTTGTCAAGCCTGACCTTAAAAATATCTAAGGAAGGAGATTCCACCACCTGCCTAGGTAACGCCTTCCAGTGTTTCACCACCCTCCTAGTGAAAAAGTTTTTCCTAATATCCAACCTAAATCTCCCCCACTGCAACTTGAGACCATTACTCCTTGTTCTGTCATCTTCTACCACTGAGGACAGTCTAGATCCATCCTCTTTGGAACCCCCTTTCAGGTAGTTGAAAGCAGCTATCAAATCCCCTCTCATTCTTCTCTTCCATAGAATGAACATCCCCAGTTCCCTCAGCCTCTCCTCATAAGTCATGTGTTCCAGTCCCCTAATCATTTTTGTTGCCCTCCGCTGGACTCTTTCCAATTTTTCCACATCCTTCTTGTAGAGTGGGGCCCAAAACTGGGCACAGTACTCCAGATGAGGCCTCACCAGTGTCGAATAGAGGGGAACGATCACGTCCCTCGATCTGCTGGCAATGCCCCTTCTTATACAGTCCAAAATGCCATTGGCCTTCTTGGCAACAAGGGCACACTGTTGACTCATATCCAGCTTCTCGTCCACTGTAACTCCTAGGTCCTTTTCTGCAGAACTGCTGCCGAGCCATTCGGTCCCTAGTCTGTAATGGTGCATGGGATTCTTCCGTCCTAAGTGCAGGACTCTGCACTTGTCCTTGTTGAACCTCATCAGATTTCTTTTGGCCCAATCCTCTAATTTGTCTAGGGCCCTCTGTATCCTATCCCTACCCTCCAGCGTATCTACCTCTCCTCCCAGTTTAGTGTCATCTGCAAACTTGCTGAGGGTGCAATCCACACCATCCTCCAGATCATTTATGAAGATATTGAACAAAACCAGCCCGAGGACCGACCCTTGGGGCACTCCACTTGATACCGGCTGCCAACTAGACATGGAGCCATTGATCACTACCCGTTGAGCCTGACAATCTAGCCAGCTTGCTATCCACCTTATAGTCCATTCATCCAGCCCATACTTCTTTAACTTGCTGGCAAGAATACTGTGGGAGACAGTGTCAAAAGCTTTGCTAAAGTCAAGGAACAACACGTCCACTGCATTCCCCTCATCCACAGAGCCAGTTATCTCCTCCTAGAAGGCAATTAGATTAGTCAGGCATGACTTGCCCTTGGTGAATCCATGCTGACTGTTCCTGATCACTTTCCTCTCCTCTAAGTGATTCAGAATTGATTCCTTGAGGACCTGCTCCATGATTTTTCCAGGGACTGAGGTGAGGCTGACTGGCCTGTAGTTCCCAGGATTCTCCTTCTTCCCTTTTTTAAAGATGGGCACTACATTAGCCTTTTTCCAGTCATCTGGGACCTCCCCCGATCACCATGAGTTTTCAAAGATAATGGCCAATGGCTCTGCAATCACATCCACCAACTCCTTTAGCACTCTCAGATGCAACGCATCCGGCCCCATGGACTTGTGCTCGTCCAGCTTTTCTAAATAGTCCCAAACCACTTCTTTCTCCACAGAGAGCTGTTCACCTCCTCCCCATGCTGTGTTGCTCAGTGCAGTAGTCTGGGAGCTGACCTTGTTCGTGAAGACAGAGACAAAAAAAGCATTGAGTACATTAGCTTTTTCCACATCCTCTGTCACTAGATTGCCTCCCTCATTCAGTAAGGGGCCCACACTTTCCTTGACTTTCTTCTTGTTGCTAACATACCTGAAGAAACCCTTCTTGTTACTCTTAACATCTCTTGCTAGCTGCAACTCCAGGTGTGGCCTTCCTGATTTCACTCCTGCATGCCCGAGCAATATTTTTATACTCATCCCTAGTCATTTGTCCAATCTTCCACTTCTTGTAAGCTTCTTTTTTGTATTTAAGTTCAGCAAGGATTTCAGTGTTAAGCCAAGCTGGTCGCTTGCCATATTTACTATTCTTTCTACACATCAGGATGGTTTGTCCCTGTAACCTCAATAAGGATTCTTTAAAATACAGCCAGCTCTCCTGGACTCCTTTCCCCCTCATGTTATTCTCCCAGGGGATCTTGCCCATCAGTTCCCTGAGGGAGTCAACGTCTGCTTTTCTGAAGTCCAGGGTCCGTATTCTGCTGCTTTCCTTTCTTCCTTGTGTCAGGATCCTGAACTTGACCATCTCATGGTCGCTGCCTCCCAGGTTCCCATCCACTTTTGCTTCCCCTACTAATTCTTCCCAGTTTGTGAGCAGCAGGTCAAGAAGAGCTCTGCCCCTAGTTGGTTCCTCCAGCACTTGCACCAGGAAATTGTCCCCTACAGTTTCCAAAAACTTCCTGGATTGTCTGTGCACCGCTGTATTGCTCTCCCAGCAGATATCAGGGTGATTGAAGTCTCCCATGAGAACCAGGGCGTGCAATCTAGTAACTTCTGCGAGTTGCCGGAAGAAAGCCTCGTCCACCTCATCCCCCTGGTCCAGTGGTCTATAGTAGACTCCCACCACGACATCACCCTTGTTGCTCACACTTCTAAACTTAATCCAGAGACTCTCAGGTTTCTCTGCAGTTTCATACTTGAGCTCTGAGCAGTCATACTGCTCTCTTACATACAGTGCAACTCCCCCACCTTTTCTACCCTGCCTGTCCTTCCTGAACAGCTTATATCCATCCATGACAGTACTCCAGTCATGTGAGTTATCCCACCAAGTCTCTGTTATTCCAATCACATCATAATTCCTTGACTTTGCCAGGACTTCCAGTTCTCCCTGCTTGTTTCCCAGGCTTTGTGCATTTGTGTATAGGCACTTGAGATAACCCGCTGATCGCCCCTATTTCTCAGTATGAGGCAGGAGCCCTCCCCTCTCACGCGCTCCTGCTCGTGCTTCCTCCCGGTATCCCACTTCCCCACTTACCTCAGGGCTTTGGTCTCCTTCCCCCGGTGAACCTAGTTTAAAGCCCTCCTCACTAGATTAGCCAGCCTGCTTGCGAAGATGCTCTTCCCTCTCTTCGTTAGGTGGAGCCCGTCTCTGCCGAGCACTCCTCCTTCTTGGAACACCATCCCATGGTCAAAGAATCCAAAGCCTTCTCTCCGACACCACCTGTGTAGCCATTCATTGACTTCCACAATTCGATGGTCTCTACCCAGGCCTTTTCCTTCCACGGGGAGGATGGATGAGAACACCACTTGCACCTCAAACTCCTTTATCCTTCTTCCCAGAGCCACATAGTCCGCAGTGATCCGCTCAAGGTCATTTTTGGCAGTATCATGGGTGCCCACGTGGAGAAGCAGGAAGGGATAGCGATCCGAGGGCTTGATGAGTCTCGGCAGTCTCTCTGTCACATTGTGAATCCTAGCTCCTGGCAAGCAACAGACTTCTTGGTTTTCCCGGTCGGGGCGGCAGATAGATGACTCAGTCCCCGACCACCACTACCTGCCTCCTTCTCCTGGGAGTGGTGGCATGGAACCCCCAACCCTAGGACAGTGCATCTCATGCCTTCCAGTCGGCGGAGTCTCCTTCTGCTCCCTTCCCTCAGATGTATCATCTGGTCCACTCTCCGCATTAGTACCTGTGGCGAGAACATGAAAACGGTTACTTACCTGTATCGGCATTGCTGGTACATGGACGATTTTTTTTCTTGGGGTCACATGATGCCGAATTTCTTCACCACCCTCCTGTCCCGATGTGCAGCCTGCTCTGAATCTTCAGAACCTTGTGCCCGTAGAAGCATATCCTGACGTCTGTCCAGGAAACCTTCAGTTTCTCTTATGCAACGCAGGGTCGATACCTGTTGCTCCAGACCTTGAACCTTCTCTTCCAATATGGAGATCAGCTTGCACTTTGTACAGACAAAGTTGTTTCTGTCCTGTGGAAGAAAGACAAACATAGCACATCCAGTGCAGGTCACAACAGCTGAACACCCCCCATCCATATTACCTTCCTTCTACGAGCTTCCTCAGGAGTTGTAGTAATTACTCAGAGAATCCGGCAAGATGTAAGCCTCAGTGGGCTCTCCCCAGGCGAACTCCCAGGCAAACTCCTTCTGTTAGCTGCTGTGCTGTTCGCTGCTCAGCTGGTTCGCTACTGACTGGCTTTTTATACGGTCAGGCCCACTTAAGGCTCACCTGGAACAAAGCACTCCCACTTCCCGCCCTTTTCAAACAACCAATCAAGCACACAGTCAAACTGTCCTCACAACAAACACTCAGGTACATGTTGGATCTGAGTTAGACAGACAAGTCTGTCCACTCTGCAGTGATCCCCTTGTGGCCCAGTCAGGAGCAGAAGTGATGGGGTGTCCTTGAATTAGAACAGAAGGAGTTGCCCAGGTCAGGGTGCATTGGCCACGCTGTGAGGGGTTCCAAGTCTGGAGTAGGAGGGAAAGCTGCAGATCAGGACTGAGGTTCATCAGCTGAGCTGTCTTGGCTCTAGTCTGGAAGAGCAGGAACGGTTGCCCGTCAGGACTGAAGGGCATTGGCAGAGGATTGCTGGGAATCTCGCACAGCACCTGCTTATGCTATAGTCAGTTCTAGTCAGTGGCTATCAGTACGGCATCATGTTCACAGAGACAAAGAATGCAAGGGCTGGTGTCCTCCTGAGCCAGCATGAACTGGGGAAACGCCAGTATGAAATGGGGCAGGTTCTTTAATCGGAGATTGGACTGATGAGCTGTTCTGATGTAGCCCTCTCTGTCTCTTTCTCAGCTCTTTGGATGGCTGCTCATTGGGGTCATCGCAGTCTTGGTTTTCCTCACCAAGTGCCTGAAGCACTGCTGCTCACCGCTGAGCTACCGGCAAGAGGGCTACTGGGCCCAGTACCGCTCTAGCGAGGCCAAGCTCTTCCAGCGCACCGCTGAAGTCCACTCCAAGATCCTGGCCGCCAACAATGTCAAGCAGTTCTTCGGCTTTGTGGCTCTGAATAAGGAGGAGAAAGAGCTAGTGGAGGAGTTCCCAGTGAAGGGTGTCCAGCCAAGCCCGCAGTGGAACGCCATCACTGGGGTCTATATCTACCGGGAAAATAAGGGCTTCCCACTCTACAGCCGGCTCCATAAGTGGGCCAAAGGGGTGGAAGGGAACGGGCCAGGGCCTGATGGTCAGGAAATGGTCTTCCTAGCCACATAAGAGAACCAGCAGCCCAGGGGGATGACGGGACCAGTTCCCCACACCATCTCTGTATCACAGTACGTTCAAAGAGGTAAAAACGGCATAGGTGCACAGCTAGTCGATTTGCTGCTAATTCTCCTCCAAACAGCTGTTCCTCCTGGGCACAGCACGGGAGGAAGGATGAACAGCTTCAGGATAAAGACCAACTGCATCGTGCCAGGAACCCGTCTCTATGACACAGCCATGCACTGCTGCTCCCACACAGAGGACATGGCACCTAAAGCAGGTACGTGCACCCTGTCTCCAGACTATCAGTGCTCCAGCCCTACTGTTCTGATGCACAGACAGAGCCCCCAGGTCCTGCGTACACAAAGACACGTTACAGATGGGAAACCAGATACAATACACTGCCAGCGTTCCCCCATCTCAGCCACGAATGCTGCAGCCTCTTTGCTCTCCTTCATTTCAGGGTCAGGACAAGACCACCAAGCACAACTTCCTATTTTATTATTAAGAGTTTATCTTGCAGTTCTATAGCATAAAGAAATTCCCAGGGCACCTGCTGGGCAGCTGCATCTGGGGTGGAACACAACAACAGTCCATCAGTGCACCAAAAAACTCCAGAGTCTACGGGTTTGTCTACATGAAGGAAGGGAGGGGGTAGTATGCACTAACTTGGATTGGTGCACATTGAAATGACCTGCGTTCACACACAGCACAGTAGCTCCATACTTAAAGGGTACAAAGTTCACCAGGCACTGAGTTAATACAAACCTATGTTCATGTATGCACATTGCTCATTCACACTATTTTGGCAGTCCTCTAAGTGCCATCCCACACTGGTTTGCATGTCCCCAGGACTGACCTGTCGGTTTACCTGTGTATCGTCCCCCTCCGCTTCTCTGGGGTCAAGGTGCACTGATGCCAGCAAGTAGGACACTGATATTGCACAGGGAAATTTAATGAAGTGGAATGTAATTACCCAATGGGAAACTGGCCAGGACACCAAACACCCTCTTTCATGAGCACAAAAGATCATCAGCTTGGTTTTATGTATCTTGAAGATAGCACCGTCAGCAGACCTGCATCCTGCTGAGCTGGCTTTGGACAGGTTGAGTCATTAACACCACTTCCTGCAGCATCTTGGGCTTCTCATCCAAGCACTGACCAGCTTCGCCCCTGCTTAGGGTCTGAGATATGGCAAGCTCATAATCAGACTTAGTTACAGTGCACACTCTTGACACTTAATTGTATCAGTTAAGCATCTTCCTCCTACTGGAAGGAGACCAGAGACCAGCCGGCCAAAAGACTGCATTATGAGCACATCTTGTGCCTGTAGAGACTGAAGTTTGCACTGATGGGAATCGGTGGGATTCAGCCATGGGAAGCAGTGACCACTCCTCCCTTCTTTCATTGGGCTTTTTAAACTGTTTCCACTGCCTTAGATGGCTCCTGAATGAGATCCTTGCAGATTCTCTCTCAGGAACTAAGTTCCACGCTGAGAAACAGACGGGAGGTTGAAATGTACCACTGTCGTTGCACTATTGTGTTGTCCACTGGCTGGACACTTGATTTGAATTTATAGCATTGCATAATTCACCAGTCTCTAATTGCATGTTGAATTACATACATACAATTGTCTCTATTTTAAAGGTTGGCAGCATATTGGAGTTGGCTTTTCATATTTATAATGCTCCTTTATATATGCGCCTTGTTTTTATGCACTTTTGCTATGGCCTTTCATGGTACTGTCAACCCCAAGTGTACAGATATCATGAGTCAGGCACTTCAAACTCATGCGACTCGATTAAAAATTAAGGTTTTTTTTAAAAAAAATTAAAAAATAAATTTGAATTCTTTTTCTCTTTGCTTTCTGATTTCTGAACATTTTGGGTGCAGCTGGGTCAAAGAAAAGCGTGAAAATGTGAACACGAGGGCCAGAAACTTACTTTGTTTTTTTAAATTAAAGTTCCGATTCTGTCATGTTCACATGACTCCAGGAGCTGACGGTTTAAGCAGACCACCAACTATCATTAGAGTTGGTGATATTGCTTTCATAATCCCTGCTGCACTGATTTGGGTGCAGGTTTTACAGAGGATTGATGCAGTGGGTGAAGGGAGGACCGGACCCTGCTCTGTCACTCTGCTCTCTTGTGAGAGAGAGCTGGAGCATAGCTAGCAATTGGAAACGGGCCCTGGGGGACATCTCACGGACTGCTGGTGCTAATACACACAGGTTGTCATCGCTATACATCACATGCTGGCAGTAAGTGAAGTGATGGCAGTCCCTTCGCTAAGGTGTTTGAGTTGGGTTTTTTAATTCTTCTTTTCCTTTACGGTGCAGACATTCTATGCAGCTCTCCTTGGCGATCTACAACAGACAACAACCAGGACGCTTATAAAAGCCTGACAAATAGAAAGAAGTCAGGATTTAGCATAATGAGTAACTGCTATTCATGCCCATCAGCTGAGCCAGGAACTCAGGCTATAGCAAGTAATAGCACCCCCACCCCAGCAGCTTCTAGCCAGGGGCTCTGCTGGTTATCAACTAGGAATTCAGCATGGATTTTGTAACGAAGGAAGGAGCCCAAGACTAAGTTAGGAACAGGCTGTTCCTCTCTCAGGATACCTCCATAAACCCAGGCAAAAATTCAAAAATCAGGCACTGTAGCCAAGATTCTTTTCCACTGCCTCTCTAATGGCTGAAAAGAGCAAATACAAATTTGCTTTAAAGATCACAAATTAATCTTAGATTCAGCTAATTACAACTCACACCCTTCTTACTAAAGGTTAAACAAAAGCATCACAAAGTCATCTTGCAAGAATTTATTTTATAACATTTTGAAGGGCCCATAATCCCACGCCTCAGATTAACCCCCCTGACCCTGAGGCCAGAGAACCAGCCTAAGAAGATGGTTCTCAACCTGGGCTGATGTTGATCAGTGACAGCCTTCTGACGCTCATTCCTTCTCTACATAAAAAGGAGGGAATGAAAGGTGGGCAGAGGCGCGTAAACACAGACCATAAGAACGGCCAGACTGGGACAGACCCAATGGTCCAATTAGCCCAGTGTCCTATCTTCTGACAGTGGACAGCACCAGATGCTTCAGAAGGAATGAACAAAACAGGACAATTATCGAGTGATCCATCCCCTGTTGTCCAGTCCCAGCACCTGGCAGTCAGAGGTTTAGGGATACGCAGAGCATGGGGTTGCAATCCTGACTATCGTGGCTAAAAGCCATTGATGGACCTAGCCTCCATGAATTTATCTAATTCTTTTTTGAATGTAGTTATACTTTTGGCCTTCACAATAACCCCTGGCAACAGGGTGATGGGGCATTGTGTGAAGAGGTACTTCCTTATGGTTGTTTTAACCCTGCTGCCTATTGATTTCATTGGGTGACCCCTGGTTCTTGTGTTATGTTAAGGGGTAAACAACAACACTTCCTTATTTACTTTCTCCACACCAGTCATGATTATATAGACCCCTATCATATCCCCCCTTTGTCATCTCCTTACCAAGCAGAACAATCCCAGTCTTTATAATCTCTCCTCATATGGAAGCTGTTCCATATCCCTAATCATTTTGTTGCCCATCTCTGTACTTTTTAAAATTCTAATATATCCTTTTTGAGATAGGGCAACCGGAACTGCATTCAGTATTCAAGGTGTGGGCATCCCACAGATTTATACACTGGCATTATGATATTTTCTGTTTTATTATTGATCCCTTTCCTAATGTTCCTAACATTCTCTTAGCTTTTTTGACTGCCACTGCACATTGAGATGTTTTCAGAAAACTATCCACAATGACTCCAAGATCACGGTCTTGAGTGGTAACAGCTAATTTAGACGTCATCGTTTTGTATGTATAGTTGGGATTATATTTTCCAGTGTGCATTACTTTGCACTTATCAACATTGAATTTCATCTGCCATTGTGTTGCCCAGTGACCCAGTTTTTCAAGATCCCATTGTGACTCTTCACAGTCAGCTTTGGACTTAACTATCTTGAGTATCATCTCCAAACTTTGCCACCTCACTGTTTACCCCTTTTTCCAGATCATTTATGAATATGTTGAACAGCACAGGTCCCAGTACAGATCCTGGGGGGACCCTGCTATTTACCACTCTCCATTGTGAAAACTGACCATTTATTCCTACCCTTTGCTTCCTGTCTTTTAACCAGTTACTAACCCATGGGAGGATCTTACCTCATCTCATGACTGTTTATGTTGCTTAAGAGCCTTTGGACCATACCCAGATTCGGAAGGGAACAACAAGAGATTCTGCTGGCGGACTATTTTCCAGTAAAGGGAAGAGGTCACATTTTCTTTCATGAAGAAGGGTGCGACATTTGGAATTAGGCTCTTCAAGTAGAGGTATAACACCTCAGCCGGAGAAGCACAAAAGAACTCCCTGATACTATACTTGGCTTCTAACGATATAGTTCGTCTTTTGAAGTTAAGTGGATTTAAAAAGAGGAGCGCAGAGGGAGGTTTTGCTCAGAGCTTTCTGGAAGATGTCCAAGACAAATATTAATTAACAAAAGAACTGGTAGCAACCTAATCTGGTTTAGGAAGTCACAACTTCCTTTGCAGTTGGCAATGGGGGTGTATGGAGATATGTTTCTGTGTGTTAGATCTAGTCATTAGACCTTTTGATGAAAAATGTTCTCTAAGAGTCACCACTTGCATGGAGCCCCTTGGACTCTGCAGGATGGTCCAGTGGTTAGGTTGCTAAGTCTGGGATTTAGGAGATGATGGGTTAAGTGCCTGTTTTGCCAGATCTCGTGTGTGACCTTGGGCCAGTCACTCCACCTATGTCACAACTCCCCAGCGGTACAAGGGGGTAACAGCACTGCCCTACCTCAGCGGGAGGATGTCAGGATAAATTCATTAAAGATTGAGAAGGGCTCGGATACTATGCTGATGGTAGCCATATAAGAACCTTAGATAGGCAGTCGTATTCCAAGTATAAAAGGGTTAAAATGGGATGCGTTATTTTTCAGCAAGTAACACTTGGTTTCTTCTCTCAGTTTAATGACCTCTTAGACAGCTGCTGCTGAGGCAGTCTCCTTTCTAATTACTGTCCATCACAAGCCGTGTTTGTTACCCTAGAGTTGCTCATGAGCAATGGATCAAGTTTAATTGGGTGGCCATAGGCTTTAAGAGGAATCAATCAAGCAGGTGGTTGTGCTAAATTGCTGGCAGCTCAAAAGCACTGGAGACAAATCTTTAAAGACACCAAAGCAGGTGAAATGCGAGAACATTCTTAGTGATGCTGGGAAGAGCGAGGGGATAGGAAAGAGAAGGGAGCTTATGCCAAATCATTGTATTTAATGATGGAGAGTCACTAACTGCCCCATTTCGACAGGAAAGCCATACAAAGGGTAGCGGTTTCTACCATTTATAAAACAATCAGCATTTAAATAACTAGATCCAAAATCATCCACACGTTAAAAGTCTGTTGTATCGTGGGGCAAGATGGAAAGCTCCTGTAAATGTTTACTTCCTAGACTTTGTTCTTTCCACCTTAGTTTGGTCCTGGACAATTCAGCTGGCGGCTGGGTACTCTCAGGAAACGCGCTAGTTATGGACACAGGCAGCCCATTACTGCGGATCTCCACCTCCAGCACCAGATACACAGAGTCTGCAACAGGATTTGAGTCTCTCTGCTCCGAGAGTTAGCTCTCGGCAAGAGAGCTCTTGGACTCGACGTACTCCAGTGCGGCTACTTTCACAGCCTGGATGGTTTCCGACGTGCCGTATTTCTTCTCATAATCCAGGTAGCGCTTGAAGAAAAACTTCATCCTCTTTGCTGCCAGGCTCAGGTGAATGACCCGCTCGAAAATATCCCTGCAAGAATCAAAAACCCATTCAGAACATGGATCAGCACTGGACCCGCAAGCCTGATATCCTGCCTCTGAACAATGGGCAGGATGGGTCATACTTCAGTGGAAGGCAAAGGAAACGCAGTACATACACTCAGCCTGCAGTAGAATGGAAGGTCAGATCCCTGCGAATCAGCAGGCTTCATAACCCCCTTCCTCTCTGCTTGCACGGTTACTGGCCAAATCATATAGCTATTTCTCTAAAATCCAGCCACAGTATTCGACTGAGCTCAGGGAATGGTCCCGGATTGGCTACACACTGTGGAAAGCAGGAGTTCCTTTCACTAGGTCCAAGCTCATGCCAGTGAGTAGCCCCTTCTTGCACCCTGGGTAGACTTGGCAGAATTCAATTTTTAATTTTTTTTAATAATTTTGACCGATAATATCGCTGATTGTTTAAGCATTTTTTTTTCTATTTTTATGTATCTAAATTTTTACAGTTGTGCATAATTATGGGATTTAAAAGTTTTTAAAAATATTTTATCAATTTAAATGTTCATTGTCGTGGGTAATTATGGGGGGGGGGGAATCAGACGAGGGGCAGGGTCAGACAGTAATTATTTAATGACAGTAGATGTTGAGATTCAAAAAAGTTAAAGCTTTATAACCATTAAGCACACAAATTGTCACCATCATGTCAAAATATATGAAGTAATTAGCCTTAAACGAAACTCTAATAAGTTCTCAAGCAGCACTTTTCTTACTTTGTCTATCTGGAAATTTTGATCATCATCCATGGAAATATTTTTCCATTGGTTTGCGTGTGTATGGGGAAGTTGACATTTGTCAATATTTACCAATACAAATCTAATCCCTCAAAGGCTAACTAAGGGAGGATGTAAAATGGAAGGGCTGATCAGCTTTCGCTATCACTTTGCACACAAAGGAGCAATCTCACATCTTTGCTGAGTGACGACCCCGCCAGGGGGCTGGGAGATGAATATGCTCTTCTGTGAGCGGCATGGCATCTGGGGCAGAAAGAGCGGCAGCATTAAATAAAGAGATTAACTAGGCTCTTGCTCCTCAGCCAATGGTGGCCTCTTGCGCTCAGCCTCGTAGACATACAGGATCAGTTACTGGTGAAGTGATCCAAGCAGGGAATAAAAAGAGGCCAAGAGACATCCAGAAGTACTTCCCTACGTGCTGTGTAGATCTTGTAGATTTAGATTAGATTCTCTAGTTTCTGGACTCTGCATAGCTGTGAAAGCACTGTCCAAACCTGCTCATTGCCCCCTGAAGGTCTCCCTCCTTTCCAACAAAGATGAGCCCAGACCCCTTTGCCTTCCCCATGTAACACAGATTCACTGTTGCTCTGGGATCCTCCATACTGCCCAGTACTGAAGGGTATTCACACTCCCTGCAGGGGGCGTTTTAAGCCTTGTGCATACACACACACACGTGCGCGCACCCCCCGCATCGCAAGCACTCACCTTACTTCCTTCTGGCTGCCGTGTTTGATCATCATGTCTATGTAGATGGACCAGATGTCCGTGCGTTTTGGGTAGCTGCTGAGCGTGCTCTCAAAAATGGCCTTGGCATGTTCAGGGTCCCCAAAGTGGAACTCCAGCTGAGCAAACTTGGAAATCACATCCACATCTATAATGAGAAGACACCCCTCAGGGCACTGCACACACCAGCAGGGGCACCTGCCCCTCTCCATCCCCTCCCTCCACCCCCAAACACATGTAGACAACCGCCAAATATCCAAGCAAGAGGCTGGCACAGCTCCAAGGACAATGCTATCTGCAGCCAATCCTTTAGTCTCTGCTCAGAAAGAGGTTTTGGTGTGATGGGGATCTGCATCCCCAGTCTCGACTGCAGCTCACTTCCCATCTCAGCATTTTATTCAGCTTTCTCCTGGAGGGGATGTCTTGGGCGTAGATTTCTCAGGTTTCAACCCTCCAGGGCTCCCTGGAACCATGACTCAAATCCCAGCAGGGCCTACTCACAGCCCTGCCCCCTTCAGAAGCAGAACACACATGCAGAGCAGTTGACTTTGAGCAGGGGTTTTCAGACCTTAAAAAACAAGGTCCTCTCTGCTCCGTGCGAGCAGATCCCATGGCTTAGTGTGTTCCAGGAGGGTTGGCTTCGTTATCCTGACCAAAAGTCTCTCCTCCCCATCGCTCCCGGGCATCAGGAGATTTCAGACCTGTTTGCTTCTTCCCAGCTGTTAGCATGGTAGAATACCAAAGGTCAACCAAGCCACCTGAGAAGCAGGAACCCAACGAATGGGAAGGATGACACAGGTCATGGAGTGGGAGAGGAGCAAGCCTTGGGACACTTACGTTCTTTATCTGGCAGGCCCTTCAGGGCGCGTTCCAGAAGCCTGTGCGTGGCCTCCACCTGGCCCCGTTTCAGGAGGAAGGTGGCGTATTTCAACCACACTGATTTCTCCTGGCGGAAACGCTTCAGTATCGTGTTGTACAGGTCATCAGCTTGCTGGAAAGATACCAGAGTGGGACGTAGAGGTCAGTCTAACATGGGGTTGCATCACGCAGCCTCTTACTAGAGCCTTGCACTTCTGGAGAGCTTTCCAGCCATGATCTTTAAGGCCTGGTCTACACTTAAAAGTTAGATCGACACAGCCACATCAGGCAGGGGTGTGAAAAATCCACCCCCTCTTCCCCCCCCCCAAGTGCCACAGCTACACCACCCTAACCCCCCCGTGTAGACACAACTATGTCAGCAGAAGAATGCTTCTGTCGACATAGCTACCGTTGCTCGCTTGCTTCGTGCTCTTTCACCAATGGAAAACCCCCTTGCGTTGCTGCAGGCTGCATTACACTTCCGGGTTATGCCGGCATAGCTCTGCCGTGTATAGTCTCCAGCGCATGTTACAGAGGCGAGTGAGTATCATTAGCTCTGCCCTTTTTACGACATAGATGGGGAAACTGGAGTTCAAAGCAGTGGAGCAGCTTCCCCCAGTTCGTACAGCAACTCACGGCCAAGCTAAGAACAGAGCCCAGGTCTCCCGCCTCCCAGGCCTGTGCCTGGCCCAGCTGAGCACGCTGCCTCCCTACAAGGGTGGATTTTCACTCTGTCTGTGGCTTCTGACCACATAGGAAATAGTATCCCTGAAGCAGAGTTGACGCACTGGGCCCTTCACCTCTGCACGCTGGGAATGAGTTACAGGTTTAGCGCTTAAGTGACAGTGAGTTTGGTGTTTCCCCTCTGGGTCTGTAGGGTCAGTTTGGCATGCTTGTATATCACTGATAGGCCAAGCCAAGCCAAGCCCAGGATCAGAACTGCAGGAGCAGTTGCAAGGTCAGGACGGGGATGCAATGGCACAGCTGGGGGGGAAACTTGCCTAGCACCTGCATTATGTCCAGCTCTGATCAGCGTGACTGGTCCCTCACCCTTTCAGGAGCGCCAAATTCAGAGGCCTGGAGGAAATCAAATCTTGGTAACAGACAGATCATCCTACTATGCACCACAGGGAACAGATTAACAGGCAGATGCTACGTGGGGAAGACCCAGGTAAGAAATAAACTGATGGCAAATTCCCTTGCTGCTCACGCAGGCCTGCACCATAACTCCGGATGGCCCAAAGTCAGATACACCAAACTGGGGAGCAAAAATGCTGGATTCGGCCAGGCACTTTCTAAGGGAAAAAATGCTCATCTCCTGCCCTGGTGGTGAGCAGCAAGGATTCTGCTCCTCAGCACATCACGGGTCCAGGCACCCACCTGGTATTTCTCAGAGCTGGCATAGATGTCAGCCAGGTGCTGGAAGACCTTCAGGGGCTCATTGTATTGAACAGCCCTCTCAAAGACCTTCATCAGTGTCTCTTCCGTGCCATACATGTTCTCTAGGTTCAGCAGAGCTACCCACACGTTCAGCTTCTCCTGCTCCTCCCTGAAAGCAAAACGGGACATGAACTTTGTCAGAGGAACTCAAAACCCTTTCTAAACATTAGCTGAGCCCCAGCACACCGGTAAAAGGTTGGCTAAGGGATTGCATCACTGCACCATGCAAATGTGGCCCCCTCTGGGGCGGAGTGTGGTCATTGTTTTATGGTGCACAGTAATACCACACTGTGAGAGAGGAAGAATTGTGTAGCCAACTGAAACTGCCTGGAGGGTACCAAGGAGGCAGAATGTATTTACTCAGTTGAAGTAAGCCCACAGGGCCAAAGATAACACCCCTCACTCTCATGAAAAGAGCCAGAAAGAGTATTAGGGCTCATTTAGAAGAGAACCACAGCACCACGCTGGGGCACTGGCTTGGTACGGACTGAGAAGGAAGACTGGCACCTATGGAATCATCAATTCCTCTTTCTGCAGCACCCCACTTGTTCCCTTACGTCTCCCCTCCTAGCCATGCCCAGGCTGGGCCCTGCTTAGCTTTGAGCTCTAGCTGGATCACAGCATACGATGGGCTGGCTGCCGACCAACGTAGCGTCGCTGCGGCGGTTCAGCCTGGGTCCTCCCTCGAACAAGGCAAGCTGAGAATTGCAGCCCTTGAGTACTATGGGGCTGCTGGAGCAGCACTTTCTATTCCCCACCCAGGCTGCTGGCGTCCCTACATTTCTAGGGGCAGATTAGATGTCCGTGCCAAATAATGGCAACAACGGCACGTGGACATCAAGCTGCTGCCCTCCCGTGCAGGGGGGGAGAAGCGTTTTACCTGAAGGAGATGGTTTTGAGGGCCCTTTCCGCCACCGCCCTGGCCTTCTCCATCTCTGTGGCTTGGAGGTGGAAGGCCATGTACTGCAGCCACAGGATGGAGCTGCTGGGATTGCTCAGCACCAAGCGGTCAAAGTCGTCCGCCGTCTGGGGCTGCCGATTGGGGTCCATCAGGGCGGCTTCGATCTTGGAGAGCTCCTTCTCCACCCTCTGCTTCTCCTCTCCTGCTCCTTCTTCGTCTGCTTCTTCCTCTGAAGCGGGCAAGGAAAGGGGTGAGAACCAGAGACCGTGTCACTTTGGAATACTTCAGGCGCCATCTAGCACCACAAGGGAATGATGGACGGAAGATGGTCAGACACTAGGGCATCCTGGGGGGAGTCTATTCAACAGACTGGGCCAATTTTTTAGAGAGAGAAACGAAACCAAGGGAGTTTTGGAACCCATCGGAGGCTGTGTCTCAGAAGAGCAGAGTCACAAGGGGGAAAGGATATTCGTTTCCCTTAATAAAGCACATCAAAGGACTGAGCTAATTCCCTAACTTTGCATCTCTGACTGCAGAGTTTACACTTTAACTCCACTTGCAAGTGATTTCATCCTAAATTTTTTTCCACAGCACAAGCCCATTGATTGCTGGTGACCAGTGCAATTGCCACAGCATAGATGTCTGCTCTGGAGAGGCCAGGGACTGGAAGGACGGGGTGTTACAGATCAAGACTGAGGTGCATTGGCAGATCATCAGGGGATGGGTGTGGCTCAGGACTGGAAGGACAGGGGTTGAGGTGCATGGATAGGGCTGTGAGAAGGAAACTCAGCTTGCACAGCACCCGCCCGTGCTCTCTCTCAAAGATTGTCACCTTCCTCTGGTTACGTTTATCTACACACGTTAAAAGAACGTCGTAAGAACCGATTGGTGAAGGCAGTCCCTTGGGTTAACACAGCCTTTGCCATCTGACACAAGGCTCAGCACATTACCGATACAAAGACAGTAAGTGACAAGAAGGCAAGTTACAGCAGCTCCCACGCACGCAGTGCTGTCCAGGATACTGTACCATGGACTGTGTGTCATCCTCTTCCTCGCTGTCTGAGCTCTCCTCTTTCCGATTAAATACTGGCACCTCCAGGGCATTTAAACCCTCGTCCCAAGTGAAGCCACTAGAAACCTGCAGCCTTGGAGCCTCTGCACGTTTTGTCTCCTGCTTGACAGGACAATAGAAGATGATATCGCTTGTTTTATATTCCAGGCTTCTGTTGGGAGCGGGTACAGCTGCTGCCTGCACCCTGCCTTGCTCTAGCCTGCGCATTGTCTACCAAAATGACACCTGAAATTCCCCACCACCACCGCCCCTGTCAGAATGACTTAGCCATAACAAACTGGGTCCATGGAGGGATAAACAGTGAGAAAAACAGGCTCACTGAAGGATTTCAATCGTCTTCTGGAGCAATGGGAATAAATTGTTCACACTTATATAGAAACTTTCATCCTGAACCCCCCCCCCAATAACGTTTTATAGAGATAGCCATCACTTCATCCACTACTAGAATGCAAGCACCTCTGGGGTGGAGCATGATGGCTGTTTGACAGCACAGCAGAGTAGAACAGGAAGTAAACATACTGTTTCTAGTTGTAACTGCAGTTAGCACCCAGATTGGATTTGGCCAGGCCACTGGAGCTAACATCCATATTCTTGTGGGAGATAACAAAATATCCAAGTGGCCAGAAAGGCAAGAGAGACTAGGAGAATCACCCACATCTCTTTTGTTTCCCTTGACGGTCTCCCTTCCCAGCACTGACCAGACCAGACCGTGCTCAGACCAGACCAGATCCATCATCTTTATTACCCAGTTTACAAGTCCCTGCATCACCCCAAGGTGATAGCTTTTTGTGGGAAGAATGGAAAGTTACAGGTCTCCAGTTCTGGATTTCAGGGCTCTGGTTACAGTACATGGAGTTGCCTCCCTACAGGCCATTAGTAACCAAACTCTTAAAGAGCCACGTGCCTGTTAATTGTTGAGGTAGGTCCTTTTATGCACAGGGCGGAGGAGCTGAGAAATGGACACATCGCAATGGGCCTGAAAGCCAGGTACCCTGTAGCAGCTTATTCCAGGCCCCCATCTCAGTCACCCTCAAGCAGTCCTCTGCCAGTCACCCTGAACATCCCTTTGCTCATTCATATTCTCCTCTTCAGGGCTCTGGCTCTTCCTCTGTGTACCCTCACCTTGGATTTCCTTTTATTCTCCTCCTCATCTTCCTCCTCCTCCTCCCGGCAATAGACCTCAACGCCGCTGTCATCCCCGTCCGTCAGGCGACCTCGCTTTTTCCCTGGCTTCACCTCCTGCAGTGGAGGTGGGGGGGAGGGTGAGCCATTGGAAAGAGACTTTATAAGAATTCTATTTTCAAGGTCAAACATTGGCTACAGACAGAAAAAGCAGAGGCCTTGGAATAACCGTCACCGCCTTCCCCAGTCACCCAGAGACACAACGTACAACATGAGTCACAAGAGAAAAGTCATGAATGTGGCAGGCCTCAATCCACGGGGCAGATGGTCAAGTCAACTTTTAAGGGCCACATTCTGGCAGGTGCTGTGCAGAGATGCCTGCCAGAAAACTTGAGATACAAGAACATAAAGCAGGGAGCCTGTGATTTTCTTCCCCAAAACACACACACTTTGTGTGGGGAGGGTGGCCAAGAGCAGTGGTTTTCAAACTTTTTTTTCTGGTGACCCAGTTGAAGAAAATTGTTGATGCGCGCGACCCAACGGAGCTGCTGCCTGCCACTTCCGGGGCGCAGTGCGGTGTCAGAACAGGGAGGAACTAGCCTGCCTTAGCCGGGCAGCACCGTCGAACGAACTTTTAACAGCCCACTTGGTGGTGCAGAGCAGCACCACCATGACCCAGTGCCTGACATGCCACGATCCAGTACTGGGCCACGACCCACAGTTTGAAAACCACTGGTCTACAGGTGTGTATGCAATCCCCACCCTCAGTGTGGCACTCCATCCCCCTCCAGTGGTGCCTGGGCCACATATAGAGGTTGATGAGCCTGCTACATCGTTGGCTGTCAGAGGTGGATCCTTTAGCTCAGGCCATTGAGGCACAAGCTTTAAGATCCAGAGGTCCAGGTTCAAGCCCTCTTTGTTTGCAGTCAGACACCCCCATTCATACAAAGTAATGTTGCAATTCGTGCAGCCTGATTTGGGGTTCTGTCTGTGGCAGAGGAGAGTTATGGACCATAGTTCTTTTTTCTATTCTGTAAAAACTTCATGTTAAGTTTCCATTAAAATTAGCTGAATCTTTATCACCCACAAGAGTGGGTGAAGCAGACAGAAGCAAGGGGAATGCATTTCTGCCCCCCGCTCAGCACAACCACCCACCCCAATGTGGGGGACAATCTCCCTGCGTGCACATACCTGTTCGCCTTCCGAGACTCTTCTTTTCTGTTTTGACCTCAGCTTCTTGAACTCCTCTCTCTTCTCCTTGCCCTTCCCCTCATCTGTGTCACAGCGTGGCAGGCCCAGTGACTCAGGCAGGATGCTTGGCTTCCCAGTGTCCTCAGGGAGGAGAGAGAGCTCAACATGGCTCTCTCTATTATTTACACTGCAGCATGTTTCCAGGGGGAAGAGAACAGAAAACCAGAAATATTCCAATTGCTGTGAATGCCAGAAATTGGAAGGGACCTCCAGAGTCACTGAATTCAGTCTCTTGCTATTGCAGGTAACCCTTGTAACAGGGGCCCGTCTCCACCCCCATCCTCTTCCCTGCAGAAATTGCACAGATTCCACCGGCTGTGCTCTTAGTGACACTTTATTTCGATTCCCCTTCACCGATATAACCACAGTCCCCCATGCTCCCACCTACTTACAATATTTGCTGAGCTTTTAGCACTCTCAGCAGGACCTGAGGGGACAGAGATCTCCCTACTCCGAGGCCCCTGTCTGACTGGACCCAGCTAGCCCTGTCCTCCCTCTCTCTCTGCAATTCCTTCCTGGGCCTTCTTTACCAACTCCGGGATAATAAGGTCAAATGAATGTTTACCCCACCCAGCCCAGAGAATTACCCCCAATCAGCCTCTGCAGCCCTGGGGCCGGAGAAGTTCTGTGCCCCCTGATGATTATTGGGGTGCCCCTGCTTGCCCCTTGTCACCTTTTCTTCTGCTCCTCCCCATTGTCCCCTCAATCTGCCAGCTCACTGCGGGGCCTCCCACCTACCTGAGGACCTTGGCAGTGAGGAACTTCCCCTCCGGCACGTACTGCTCATACAAAGATTGTTTCGGTATGAAGAAGGGGACGACTTTGTGGAATTGGACTCGGCCCACAACTGAGCTAGACAAACTGAAAAGAAAGAGTCAGAATCACACGTCTACAGCTTCACCTTAACGGCAGCTATATTACGGGGCCTGGTGCACGTCACCTAACCACCATCATTACAGGCAGCCTCCAACCCTGGCGAGACAAAGAAGCAGAACAGCAGGGAGTCCAGCAGGTCAGCCTGGAGGGACATTGGCAGAGCCAGAAGGGCAGGATGGGAACAGCAGGGGATGTTGCAGGTTGAGATTGAACAACACTGGGGGCACTGTTTATAGGACGCTGGAACAGCGCCTGCCTGCCCTACGACCAGCTGCCTATTAGATAGTAGGGCATTTTTCACATAGACGTCACAAGCTTACAAAAAACACCAACATTCTGACTTACAGAATGAAATTCACTTGGGAAAGTGGCATTACATTGTCAGAGACGCTGCAGAATTTTGAATTCTAGGGCTATTAACACAAAACAAGCATGCACACATGGACCTCGGGTCTACACAGCCCACTGTACTTGTCTCGCCACGTGCTACTCACCCACAAAACACGCCTGACTGCTTGACAGATCTGACATAGCCTCTGACCAGCTGGCCTTCCCGAACATCCTCAACACATGTAATTTCAGGATCTTCCACTTTGTTTTTGCTCTTTGGATTTGTCCTAGAAGAAAGAGGGGGAAGGAGGAAAATCCTCACTGCAACTGAATGTTTTATACTCTGCTGGGTCCTGAAAAAATCAACCCAAACTGGAGACTGGAAAGCAATGAACCCTTTACGGAGTGTGAAGGACCAAGAACATCCTTGTTTCTCCTCCCATTTATTGAAATGCGCTGTCTGCATCTTCTTCCAGCTACAGAAGGTAAGCAGCACGATACAGCGATCCAGGTCGCTGTACTGAGGATTTGTGGCTAACCCCTTGGCCTGTTACACTTTTGAGATAGTGCCAGAAAAAGGGGCAAAGGCACTGATTGAGGCTGTATGAAAATTTGGGGTTTGTGTCCTCCTGCCCCAAAGAGGCTTTAACCCAGCCTCCCATCACTTGCATTCATGTGTCCAGCAACCCGATCTGTGGTCACAATCGGATACATTGATGCCATCATCCGTGTGTGCAATGCACAACTGGCACAAAGTGAGAAGAATCAAGCTCTTCATCTGCCATTTCTTCTGAAAAGTAAAATGTTCATCTGCATTTTTTGAGGTTAAATGTTTATGCTGCCAATTCCACCATGGGAAACTATTTGTTTATTTTTTTTAAACTAGGTCTAAATAAGTTCACTGGAGGAAAGGTAAATACACAGAACACATATCCAAATGAAGCTGTGTGGACAGACCTAGAAGAGCAGTGAAACTCAACCAGACCTATAATGCTCATAAATAAAATGTGTGAATGTGTGTATTCACAACCAGACATCTTCACATTCTCCCGGACATGGGAAACCCTCTAAGCAGAATGAACAAGCAGCATCCAAAGCTATCTTCATCCCTTACAAAGTCTGGGATATCAGGCTAATTATGTAATCTGAACACATGCATTGGGCTGGCCCAGTAAATGTGGGTTTCAGGGTGGGTAAAAAACTAAACACCAAGTTTCACTGCACTTTTTACCACTCTCAGGAGATCTACAGTCCAATGCAAAGGCACCTACCTGGATTGCCGGAGAGATATTTCTATTTTGTTGTCTTCATTGGATAGGACACAACACCTGGAGATGTGGGAGAGGCACGAAAATGGGAAACCTTTGAGCAGATTAAAAAAAGGCACACACAGAGGAAGCAGAGAAATTCTTCATACAGCAGCATTAAACGTAGAAGGTGCACTAAGAACCCAGAACTCTGAAGCACTTACAGTCTACCGCAGACCAATGAGATACAATGATTTAGGAGATCAGCTGAGAAGGTTTTGTGAAAGAAAACAACCTACCGACCTACACCATAGTATCTGAGCATCTCACAATCCTGAATGCTCACAACACCCCTGTGAGGAAGGGAAGTCACATTAGAGGTGGGGAATTCGGTCACAGACACACCATGGCCCAGATTTAGATATTTAGGAGTATAAATCCTATTGACTGTCAATGGGATTTTGGCTCCTAAGTGCTTACATTCCTTTGGAAAATGAGACAGGCTCCTAAATCAGTTAGGCATAGCAACACAGAGCACAGCAGCACCTAAATACCTTTTAATATCTGGGTGTAAGCAATTATTCCCTCTAATTTTTCTCATGTATGTGCGGAATGAATTTTGTTATGTGCACCAATATGGAGGTGATGTGTGGTGGGGGTGGGGCCGGGGCTGAGAGGTTTGGAGTGTGGGAGGGGGCTCAGGGCTGGGGCAGAGGGTTGGGGTGCTGGGTGGGAGCTGAGGGGGGAAATGAAGGCTCCGGCTGGGGGTGTGGGCCCTGGGGTGGGGCCAGAGATGAGGTTGGGGGTGAGTTTGGGGTGCAGACTGCCCTGGGGTGGAGGGGGAGGCAGGGGGAAGAGAGAGAACTCCCCCCAGCAGCACTTGGGCTGGGGGAAAAGGGAGAGGCGCCTCTCCCGGGCCGCGGCAGCTCCGGGGCTGGGGCCGAGGTAGAGGTGCCTCTCCCTGCCGAAGCCCTGAGCACCTGTGCGGCCCTTGATACGCTTAGAGGGAACTTAGGGTGTAAGTGATTTGTCTAACACCCTTGGAATTAAAAGCAGGTCTCCCAAGTCCGAAACTAGCATGCTAAGCACTGCAACACCCTTCTTTAAGAAATGGGTTCTGAAAAGGGGACTGAAGGAAGCGAGCACACAGGAAGTGAGCAGCTGCCCCAAGCAGATACAAATGTAAGGTTACAACCTTCTCCCCTAGAGGAGCCAAAGAGCTATATGTCCTCTAACTCTTTACAATTTGCCCCGGAAGGGGTAACACTCCGGCTGGAATGCAAGGAAAACCCCTCAGTGCTGCTGCTAAACCAAACCACTGGTGAATCTTGTCACTGCTGAAGGATTTTCCCAGGCCCCCCCACTTGAGGAGGCAACAAGAGACTTCAGGAGACTAGGAGAATCTCTGACCTGACAAGCTTCCCGATGCTGAAGTTCTCTAGCGGCTGCTCAGCGTATGAATCACTCAGGTGAAAGATACTGGCTTTGCCGGTCTTTCCGAAGGGAAGTGCAATGGTGAGGCAGACGTGTGGAGTCACCTTTGTTATGGTGCCCAGGGTGATGGTTCCTTCCGCCAGCGAGTGGACTCCTGCCAAGAGCACGAGGATTTCAGAGGGGTTATTTCAGCCAGACCCCACAAAGGGTGAAGATATTCCAAGCTTGAACACTTGGGGTAAGGGAATCAACTAGACAGAAAGGAGGTATGGCGTTACTTCCCCGGTCACCTACCATCCCCACAGTCTTTTGGCCACATGGGGCCTGCGCGGCTCTCTCAGTTCACAATCCCTTTTGTAACAACGATGCCATGTTCAACCATTCACAATCCTTCCTCCCAGATATGACCCTGAACCCATTATACCCGGACCCATAGTAATTGATGAACAGCTTGTGTGACACCTGATGGAGACCAGTCAGAAACCAAGTTGCTTCAGAAGAGAGCAGAGATGAGGACCCTGCCTGACACACCTAGAAGGAGAACTGATGCTTTAGTCTAAAGGCTTGAACCTCTACGTACCGGCTGAGTCTGAAAACCAAAGCACCTTGAACTCTGGATCCAGATTCAGGGTGTTCGCTCAGGAGAGAGAGACAAAGTTTGGCTCTGTCTTGCAGCATTCTGATCCCATGGTTTCAGTCCAGGACCATTTCTAGTTGCTGAGCTGATGGAGGAAGCCTAACAGGAAGGGTGCTGCAGTTAACGAGGCTTTACCATACCTGTAAGTGACAGGCAGAGGTTGGTCTCAGAGGCATCTGTGCCAGTCACTGTTGCAGACAAAGCTTGGCCATTCTTGAAGCTCTTTTCTGGATGCTTTAAGACCTGGGGGGGAGAGAGACTTCCACTCAACACCAGGGACTTCAGCCACTCATTTTGATTTTAACCAAGGTAATCTCAGGACATTTCGAGATCCACATTTGGCATTATAGGCATCTTCTGTGCATCTATTAAACCCTGATAAAGAAATGTCACTGTGACGCTGGATAAATCTAGCAGTAAACAGCATTTCTTACTGCTCATGTTTTAGGGAAGCAGCCTGGCCCCATGGAAAAAACAAACAAACACTGGACTGGGATTCAAGAGACTTTGGGTCTATTTCCAACTCTGCCACTGGCTTGCTGGGTGATTTGGGTAGTCATGTGCCACCCTGTGGCTCAGTTTCCCCATCTGTAAAATGGGGATAATGATGCCAACATGCTTTGAGATCTACTGCTGAAAAGCAGTATGTAAGAGCTAGGTATTATTATACTAATTATCTTGTTGCCATTATAAAAAAAGCAACTCGAAAGAGACAGAGATTGCACAGTGAGTGAGTCTACAAGGTGGCGGGGGTGGGAGGGAGGGGAAGGGTAAAAGGACTTGGCAAGGAACCGATTTCCAAATATTTGTATTAAGAGGCAAATAGATCTGATTTGTTCTGCTAACGATCTGGCATTTGATTCGGAACCTCTGCAGTTCCCCTTTGAAAAGAAAAACAACTAATGATGTTCACAATCTAATGTTTCTCTAAAAATAACCAAGTCAACAATACTCATTATGGAGTAGCTGAAAGAGGCTGAAAGAGGAAGAACAGCCCCAGCCCCAGCCATGACACAGGATCAGGAATCAAAGAGGAACCAAAAGGTTGGAGGCTGCTTGAGACACTTTTGTCTCTGGGTGCTCGCAGCCTCGTGTGTGCAAAACCTTCATGCATGTGATTCTTTGGCGAGAACTTACCTTCGGGTTAAGGGAAAGCAGAAGCTGGGGAACTCTTCCTCGAATCTCAGGGGTGATCTCCACCTCCAGCCAAGTCTTGGTGGTGTTGTACTGAGAGGAAACCAACCAGCCATAGAAGAGAAGGTTAGACTTACAAGAAGCTCCATGGCTTCATTGGAGAGAGAAAATTCAGATTGAGTCCAGAAGGGCCCAATTATGATCATGTAGCCAGATCTCCTGCATTACACAAGCCAGAAAACCTCTCCCAGCATTTCCAGCCCGGATTCCAATCGCTTATTGATTAGGACTCAGACAGGAGAGGTGCTTCTTTGTGCTCTCAGAGGAGAGGACGAGTCTCCCCAAAGAGGGGAAACAGCATTTGGAATTCTCTGCAGATAGATATACTAACAGAGGGGTCTTTTGGGTGGGAGGGAATCATGAATTGGCCCCAATGATATCTTGCTGCTATGGGGTCTGCTGCTACACTGCAGTGATTCTCACACAAAGGCTCAGGAGTTCCAGCATCTGGCATATTTGGAATTGGGGGAGTTTTCCCCCAAAAGGACCTTCTGCTGGAGCACGGGGGGGGGGGGGGGCAGCAGGGGGAACACTGCACTGGGGACAAACAGGCTGTGATACCAACCCATCTCCTTAGCTCTGGAGTTATTCTGCTCCTTCCTATTTCCTTCTGTCGTCAAGACTAGGGCTGGATTTTGGATGCACCGATCAGCATTTTACTGGCACGTTTGAATTTTTCAGACTATGGGCTGGAACCAGGCCTGACGTTTTGACAGTTGGTCCTTTCCCAGCATTTATTTTGGAAGCCTCCAAATCTCACCTTCTTCACAAAGCAGGTCACCGTCTGCCCAGCTTTGTAGGGCCTGAGCCGTTCACTGGGATTGTCTCCTTCGGGGCTCAGAGCTGTGCCACCATCCCCCTTCAGATCACTGTTCAGAAAGCAAAGAGACAGGAGCAGATGGAAAAAAATTACAGTCCCAGGGTCCCAGCTCCAAGCAGTGCATGGACGCGTTGTGGATCCAGGAGACTGTTTATGATGATGAAATATCCCCTGGGCAGCATCCCTGTAAAGTTCATCCCCACTCTCTTTCCCCCAAGCTTTCTTCCCTTTATTCTGCACAGTGCAGGAACTCCCACCATTTAAAGCAAGTCTCCCCAATGCAGAGAGAACCACTAGGGTGTGGTCTGAGCCATGTCCCATGCTAGGCAGCTCAAGGGTGTGTTAGCGGAACAGTCGGTGCTTTAACCTGTAGTGGCCAGAACAGAGCTGGAAAGAAGAAAGGAGTGATATGCTTATGTGTCCTGTTGTCTCGCGGATTCCTGGCTCCTGGCCTGTTCCTCGTATCCTCTGTAGGCTGGAGGGCAAGGGAGCCTCTGCAGGGCAGAGCTCCGTGGCACACAGGAGTTGGGGATCCCAAATGCTGCCACCCTTCTCCCTTCCCCAGCGGAACACCACTTCCCCAGCAACAGCTGACAGGGTGGAATTTGGCACTTGGCACTTTCCATCTTCACGGCACTTTACAAACATTAAACCAGGTGGGCAGGAGGCTAGTACAGAATCTGCGGCTCTTACCTGGGTCGAATGCTGAGCTCTGGAATGGACTGAGTGAAGTGTGGATGGGTGATGGGCAAATACCTGCAACAGAGGAAACCATTCAATTCCTTCTGTCTCCACAGCACACTGCAACGAGGCTTTCCCGGCCCGTTACCCGCACAGCACAAAGCCAAGCACTCTTAAAACTAACAGCTTCCCAGTTCTGGTGCTCAGCCTTTGCCACGCTCCCACCCACTCCAAAATGAGACACTGCTAGGGCACCATCCTCGGTGCTGGCTCTGTAACAGAGCCACTGCCGGACCGGTCTGGGCAGCAAACCCTGGGTAGATTAGCTCTGCCTCCCAAAGCAGAGTAATCCTCTTTCTCTGCCTACATTTGAGGAGCCTCCTTCCTCGCACTGGGATGCCGACACGCGATCATCTGTGAGATGACCAGCTGCGTTAGGCACTCAAGAGTGGGGTTTTTGGATAAACCTAAGGGAATAACGTGCCAAAATTCCATTGAACTTAGATTGGAGTTGGAAGTTTCGTTACCTCTGAAGTCAGACCCTTAACTTTCACTCAGGACTAGCTCCTGCTCCACTGGAAGTCAACAGGAGCTTTGACTAAGGCAGACCCCAGACTCCTCTCTACCTGTGATCTAAGACAGGGATAGAATGCCCATCTGCAGTGATGCAAGTATCATGTGCTAGCCGGGGCATGGAACATGGCAGGGGAAGATTCCCTTAGGGCCTCATCACCTCCAGCAGGCATAGCTGGAATACAAAATGCCTGGACAATACAGAGGAAGAGACCTGGTTAATCTGAACTAAATTACTACTCCACTGCCAGCTTCCCCTGGAAGCAACACAGAAGCTCTTTTTCTACCTGTGAGTCTTCACATCTCTGCCTCCAATGACCCGGGCTGTCACCTTCTGCCCAGCTTTCAGCCTGGATGTTGGAAAGGTGCCTATGGGGACTTCATCCAGGATCTGGGACGTGTGGATGGAGCCCGTTAGCTTGTCATCAATGGCAACTGTCACGTAGGTAGGTCTGACGGACTTCACAGTTCCCTTGACCACATCTCCTAAGCACAGGGAGTGTTTCACTGCAGCCAAGCCTTCCTCTACGGTCTCTGACTCTTTCCGGGACCTTATAAAAGCCCTTTTCTTTGCTGGGCCTTGCACTGCTAACAGGATGCCATGGTCACCTGTCAGCACGGTTTTTAAGGTTACAGAGACAACCTGTCCCACCTTCAGCTTCTCAGAGTCAAAACGGAACGTGTCATTGAAGTGAGAGGCCACAGGAATGGCAGTCAGCTGACCTGTCTCCACCAACGAGGCAATGGCAAACTCTTCTGCTACATGCTGCACGACAGCAGGCTGCTGGGAGTTTTCCATTAGCTGTCAAACAGAGACTGGTGGTGACTTATCAGCAGGAACTCTGGATTCCAAGCTAAGACATTCTTGCCCCTTCTCCCCGCCCACCGCCACTTTGTGTGAAACATTTCACACCTGAGCATTATTTAAAATCCATTAACCAGGTAAATGCATACCTGGCACAGGGACAGAAACACACGAGACCTAATAAGAGAACACAAGCCAGACGTACCCCTTTGGCTTTTGTGTGCAACAGCTCTTCTCGAAGGGAGACGTGAACCGCTGATTTGAGGGCATCAACATGAAGAACCAAGACTCTTGCTTTTTGACCAGCAACCAAGCTCTTGTCTATAAAAACAAGAAGATTAACTGCTGACAGCCCAAAAGGATTTCTACCAGTCTTGACCCTGTGTGACAAAGCCAAGGGCAGCATGCTCAAGGGCAATCTGAGCTCCTAATGCTACCATGCTAATACTAAAACTGTTTCACAGTCCAGAGGACCCATTCACAATATGGTTACTACTAGCAGCCAAATGTGCGGTAGCTCATTTAAAAAAAAAAAAAAAGAATCGATCCATATTTTTTCTCCAAGCCACTAATGTTGGGGGAGTGTTATCCTTTCACTGGGAAAAAAACAAAAACCACAGCCAACCTTACAGCAGGATCAAGTCAATTTTACAATCAATCAATAAAATCTACCTTGTATATAGAACTTTTCATCAGGAGATTTCAAAAGTCCTTTACAAAGGAGGTCAGTACTATTACCCCCATTTTAGAGAGGGGGAAACTGAGGCACAGAGCAGGGAAATGACCTGTCCAAAGTCACCCAGCAGGCCAGTGGCATAACTGGGAATAGCACTCAGGTCCCTCAAATCCCAGGCCACCACTCCTTCCACTAGGCCACACTGGCTGGTATATGTCTGGTTGTCATTATTTCGAATTTGAACAAAATAAATACCCAGATTAAAAGGTTGTAACTAAACACAAATGGCAGGTTTCAGAGTAACAGCCGTGTTAGTCTGTCTTTGCAAAAAGAAAAGGAGGACTTGTGGCACCTTAGAGACTAACCAATTTATTTGAGCATGAGCTTTCGTGAGCTACAGCTCACTTCTGTAGCTCACGAAAGCTCACTTCTGTAGCTCACGAAAGCTTATGCTCAAATAAATTGGTTAGTCTCTAAGGTGCCACAAGTCCTCCTTTTCTTTAAACACAAATGGGTCTTTTAAAAGGCAACAAATGCAGGTTTGAGTAAAATTTGTTAATACTTGCATGGAAACTTCGTATATGGTGTGTGTACGTACACACGCTCATGGGTGCGCGCGCACACACACTTCATATATGTTAGTAATGATAAAATGAAGTTAAAAACAGTTCTGAATGCCTAGGATAATTTTCAGTTCTGCTTAAAAAATGACACTTTTCTGGGCTATTATTTGAACTACAATGTATTTGAAATTGCAGTTTTGCTTAATAACGTTCCTTGAATCAAGAGAAAAATTATGCAGCAACTGAGCATATTCCAGCTCCTAGAGGAGGAAGGGAAAAAACTAAAAACTGTTCATTAATACTTTATCCTTCTATAGCACCTTTCATCTGAGGAGCTCAAAACACTAATTAAGCCTCACAGAAACCCGGTGAGGTAGGGGGGCATTTTGCTGATAGGGACAACAGAGTCACAGACAGGTTTAATCATGCCCCAAACCATGCTCTGGATCAGTGGCAGAGCTAGAAACAGAAACTCAGGAGCCCACGCCTGCACTATCCCATGCTCATGACACTCCTCACTGTTTCATCAGCAATTTATTTCATTCCAGACAAAGCAGTTTGAGAGCATTGTGTATCCTACCCAGTGACGATGAAACACAAAGAAATAAGACCATAAAAGAAATTCCCAACCTCCAACATGATAGCGAGTGGCTGTTACGGTCAGCCCAGCAACACAGCTGCCGTTGAAGAATGCTGAGCCATCCCCCTGCACTTCCTGAACAACCAGCTCAAGTTTCTGCCCAGGTATCAATCCACAGAGGTTTTGGGCCACCTTGGAATGATCTAAACCGACAGAATGGGAAAAGGTAGAGAGTTAATTTTATTTCCACTGGATCTTTCGCAGAAGCAAAGAAGCGGGATTCACCTTTGCTTAATATGAGTTTTTATGCCCCTCTTTAAAAAAGAGAATCAGATAGTTTAGACCCCCCAACACACAAAGAAATAGTATTAAAATTTAATCCCAATAGAAACACTTACGAAAAGCTAAAAATTTAAAACCACACTGCCGATCACTAGAGATATTTAATGTCCCAGGGCTGTTAACCTATGACTAAACAGGCCTGTCTGGAGGGATAGCATATAACTTTAATGCAGCCCAATTCAGGTCTCTTCCAATTATCATCTAATTCCCTCTTTCTGCATTTCCAGTCTATTATAGTCTCTAAGGGAGATCTGTATTTCCTAAGGTGCCTATCACCTTGGTATCTAAGCATTAGTGCATTTAGTACCTCTTTTCTAAACAATTCAGTTCTATACCCTCACGAATGTTCCTGCTTTTGGTATGTGCGTTTGTATGCAGAGAGGCATCTACGTACAGGTGACCAGGATTCTCAGAGCGTTCAGGTCTGGGAGGTAGGGGGTTGGTACGCACACAGGTACTGCATAGCAACCTTTCAGAGATACAGAAGTACTTTCCATGTCTACTTGGCTAAGGGGCAACCAGCAAATACTTTTCCCCAGCAGATGAACAAGCTGGCTCACCACAAACCCCTCCCCTCTGTTAGGTAGATTTCACCTTTTTTTTTTTTTTTTTTTTTAAATGTGATTTTCCTTACTGTACCCTTGACCACAGTATTTAAGTACTGATCGGATAAATCAGATCTGCATGACCTCCTCAGAGGATTCTGCTCTTCACCTGCCTCCCAGGAACTAGAAGGCACCAAGTTTTGTCCCATTGTGTCTCCCTGGCTCTTTCTATTCTATTTCAGCATAAGGCTAATGACATCATAGCTCTTAACCCTCTGTTCTTAACCACTCAGGGCCTCAACCTGCTCCCACTGAAATCAATAGCAAAACTCCCACAGACTTACAATGGGAGCGCAGCCTGGCTCTTGGTTTGCTAGTTGTCCCCACTCCTGACAAGAGTTCCAGAAAGTGTTGTTCCTGTTTGTAGCCTTTCAAGGCCTGGACTCATTCTATAAACCCTCCTCTCTTAACAAACCTGGCTCACAAGTTAAGCCATTGCTTGCTTTGAGCCTTCTCTTACATGGAAGGCAAAGGGGTAGTTTATGCCTTGTATTATTTCTCTAGTGCTGAGTGTCATGACCTGATCCCTGTTCCCAAACTTACTTCTTCTGCTCAGAATGCCCCTGACCTCCTTCAGCTCCTCAAAGCACTGGCTCAGTAAGGAGAAGCTCTCAGCGACGGGGTCTTCCGAGCCGACCTCAGACAGCTTCAGACACAAGAGGATACGCTGCTTCTCCTCGTCCATGCTCGTCACATTGGCAACCACCGTCTGTCCCACCACAAAATGGTCTTTGGTGTCTGTCACAAACTTGTCACTCATGGCCTGTTTGGAAAAAGAGGTCAGCAGAGGTAGCTGCTTAGCAACCCTATTAAACTATAGCACCTTTCATGAGAGTGCTTTGGAGTATTTTTACAAACATCCATTAAGCTTCAACCTCTCTCTGATGTTGGCAGGTATTATCCCCATCTGAGAGATGGGGAACAGGCACAGAGAGGTTAAGTGACTGGCACAAGGTCACAGAGCAGATCAGTGGCAGGCCTGGGAACAGAACTGAGGAGTCGCAATTCCCAATCTCCTCCATGAGGGGTGAGCTACCCCACTGTAGCAGTGCTGCGTTTTGCAATGCAGTCCCCGATATGCCAGCAGACAGGTGGTGGGAGAGATGTGGCGTGATTAGGAAAGAAGGCTCTTTTCAGCTCTTGTAGAATCCCCATTTGCCTTCATGCTCTTTCTTGCCCCTTCTCTCCCCACAAGCCCTCCCATATCATGGAGGCACCTAGAACTCTATAAATACAACCCTAGCCTAAGTTTTTACTACTAGTGGGCTGGGCAGTGGGAGTGCAGGAGACCTGCAGTCTATCTGCCTTCCAGCCCTGCTTAGAGCCACATTTCTTGGGCCTGCAAACATGGTGCTTTAAGAGGGAAAGTCACACCCAGCTTACCGCTTTGGGGGCCAGTCCAGCTAGACCAAATGGGAACTCCACAAACACTCCATAGGACATAATGTTCCTCACGTAACCAGCCAGCTGCATCCCAGGTTGGATTTCAGAGAAGCTCCTCACCACTTGCTCCTCCTGTACAGCAGAGATCACTGCAGGCTTTCTGCACAGGGTCTGAACAACTAGTCAAGGAACAGGGCCTTCTAATCAGGGGAAGAGGAAACAAGCTTAGGAGCCTACTAAATCCCTTGGTATCACCAGAGGGTCTCACCAGAGCCATTGCAAGTTGTACAACACAGGATCTTAAAATCACAGCATTCCGATTACCACCTTGCTTTCCCTCCATCGATAATTTTAGCAGCCAATACCTCATAAATTGCGACAGTTGGAGATTAATGCATTACACCATTTGGAAGCTGGAATTCTCTGATTACAATCCATACAATTAGTTGGTTTTCAGTGCTAGTTGTTTACTAAAGTCATGTCACAACTGACATTTATGCATGTAAGCTGGGGAGGCAAACAAGTCAGTAATCAGAATGTTGTGATTTTTAAAGCCTGATACCCTCACAATCTACTAGGGCTAAAAACATGTCTAATCTCTGATGGGATTCCCAGCAGCATACAAGATTCAATTCAAGGGTGGGTGGTTCGCAAGATACCAGCCCTTCAAACCAACCTTGGTTCCTGAGGATGGAACCAGCCCCACACCTTAAACCAGTGTAATTTCTCTTCCTTGTGTACAGTCTAGATTACAAATAGATTGTTCATTCATGAAGGCTCTGGCCATAAAACCCAAACCTTGATGGAAGAGTCAAAGGATACAATGTGTCCTCCCTTGTCACTTAGGCACATAACCCTGTGGAGGATGTCACCCTCTTGGAGCCAATGGTACAGGAGTTTACAGTTAACCACATGGTCAGACAGATGCATCATGGGAAGGTGGGCAGAAACATTGTCCGACAAGATGGAAACCTCCAGGCCATTATCTTTCTTCTTCAGGACCTTCACATCAACCATCTGAACAGAGAACAGGAAACATAACGGGAGACTGTAAACAGCTCTGAGGTCTCTCCAGCTATGCACAAGGAACTCTCTTGTTCCAATAGCGGGGAACCTCAGAAGCATCTGACATTTATTATAAAGCAATCTCAACAAATCACAGAAGTCAAAGTCTGGAAAATTCATTTGATCAGATGGGAGGAGGGGATGAGATCATTTAAACAAAACAGAACATCCCCGTGCTTGCAGTAGTAAAACTTGTATTTACATGTCGGCAGTGTTTTTCATTCCAAAGGGATATCGAAGCACTTAAGAACTATTGTCTTTATGGCAAATATTTACCTAACACTGAAATGCAGCCACTTCTGGAGCAAAATGTGGCAGCTGTTCGCACACTGCAGCATTACAGTTTGAGAAATGGACGTGACCACCACATTCAACAGGAATTACGTCAGGGAAGTCCTATGACCTGTGTTATAGAGGAGCTCAGACTAGATGATCACAGGGGTCCCCTACGACCTTATAATCTATGTACTGGGACTGCTGAAGTTAACACTCTTGGGTTAATATCATGGGGCTCTTTTGTCCTCCCTCTTCTAAAGCGCATCAGACCCTCCCTCGCATCCTAGCGGGATGCCAGCCTCACAATAGGAGATGCAATGATGCTAGTTCCTCATTTGCTTGCCGTCTGAAACAGACTTTCTGCATCTACTGGCCTCTTCTCACCTCTCTTTCCTCCCTGTCTTGCACCTCACCCTGTCTCTTTAAGTGCCTTGTGACTGACCATTTTAATGTATTCACATAAGTATTTTCTCTGACATACACTCCTGTATGAGTCATGGTCCCGTTTACTTTACTCTAAAAACTTATTTGGGGATGACACTTGTACGAAAGATGCAATACAAAACCTAGTTATCATTGTCCCCATCTAGTGAGACCCATTAGACAGGTTTTAGAAGTAAAATAATTCAGAGTTGCATTGAATCCTTTCCTTAGTAACCAGGCAGGAGGGGGGAACAGGACGAGGAGGGGGGTGGCATTTACAATCAATACCTGCCCAGTTTCGTAAGTTACTTCCCGATTCTTCTTTGGAATTTGTTCTCCTCCATCCTCAGAGACAGGTCTGCTCATCAACTTGAATGACAGCAGCAGCTTCTCCTGCTCAGGCTCACATTTTAAGACTATGACTTTGACAACCTATTGTAAAGAGATTAAAAAAAAAAAAAGACTTAACAGTGAGTTTTCTGTAGATCCATCCCTCCACCCTTATATCCAGTGTACTGCAGTACAGTGCATAAAACAGCAAAATAAATACTCAGCAACTCTTCCCCTCGCACCCAAGGCTATCAGGGCATTCTACAAACATGAGTGAATTCAGATTCACAAAACTAGTGTGAGGCAAGTGTAATCCTCACTTCACAGGTGGGAAACTGAGGCACAGAGTCATTAAAATGACCTGCCCAAGACAGAGCTGGGAATAGAACCCAGGTCTCCCGACTCCCACCACCAGACCATCCTGCCCTTTTTGCAGTTGCTATAGATTCCAGCATTAAAAACAAACAAAAGGCGCCAGGAACACTCTGAGCAGGTCACACGCCTCATGGGGATGGCTCAAAGTACAGACTGGAATTAAAAGTGCTTGGACATTGGTAAAATTGCCAGGCACAGCATGGGTCGGATTTTTAAAATATGGACTTAAAAGACTGTTGTCCTGATCCTGAAAATAAAAGTTTTCATTCTTCTGAAAACAAGGGCCGCAGCATGGACCCCAACCCTGACAATCTGACAAGCCACCTACCCTGGGGCTAGGTTTCTTTGCCACCCAAGCTGTGCAGACCACATTACACAGCTCTGTGCCTGCTGCACTCTCAGAAGCAGGCAAGGCCTGGAAACGTACAAGAAGGCAGCTCTGCAAAGTTCTTGAGGGGAAGGCGTCTCTTACAGCCCAGCCCATTTAATTGTATACAGGAAAGAGGAATCAACTGCTTCACAGGAGCGTTTTCAGAATCCCAGATCCTTTTGATTCCTTCCTGTGTTGTCTGTGCCTGTTAAATGATTTCCCAAGACAGGAAGAGTTTCCAGTAAAGGCCTCTGATTTGAGTCCTTTAAGCCTTAGGACACAGGTGAGTTTGTAGGCGTGGACATCCAGCTCCTAAGAGTTAAGGGGATGCAACAGGGCAGGGGACAGAAGACTGGGACTCTAACCTGGAGTGAGTGGTCTCGTCTCCCCTCAGGAGCCCGTTCCTCCCTGTTATCAGATTGTCCTTATGACTATGCAGTGGTGTGACAGTGTCACGCGACTGTCAAGGAATAGCCCCCTTCAGGGACCCAAAGCCAGTGGCAGTTAGGTGATTCTTTGGCTAGACTTTTCGATAGCCTAACCCTAGCACAGCAGAGGGCCCAACACCTCCTGCACTGCAAACCACAGCACCAGACAGATCTTATTTTCCGTCTGCCTGCCTTGCCAATATCCCTTTACAACCCTCTAGGTGCATTGAATTTCCACCTGAAGCTCCCATCCACAACCAACCAGCTGTGGCCTCTTATCTGTCAGTGCAATGTCACAAGTGCCTCCGTTGTGTTTATCAATGTGGGGGGGGATGTATTAGTTACCTGGCCTTTGTAGAAGACTTTCTCTGGGGAAGATATGGGCTCTGAGCTCAGCTCATTCTTGGGAACCAGACCTTTAACGTCATTGTAGAACTTCACAATGCAGCCAAACTCCCTCGCGCACACAATGAAGCCATGAGCGATCAGGCCGGGCTTTGCAGCCTCGTAACTAGTGAGGACTGGAAATTTCGACATGACCAGAGTTTTCTTCAGAGTTAGGATCAGCTTCTTTTTTTCAGGATTGGATATTAACACCTAAGAGAGCGGGGAGAGGAGAGGTTACAGTGACCGCAGAGGTGCTTTTCAATCAGGGAAAAGGCACCAAATCCTTGATTCATATTCACTATGTACAAGAATCCCACATATGTCAACAAGTTTGCACTAGCTTCAGACATCCAGAAGCAACAGCGCTTTGAGATCCTCAGAGAAAAGGCAAACATTAATGCTGACAATGTCTCAGAAGCTAAACCTGTGAAAGCAGAAGGTGTCAAGTGACGTGGTGGCCAAGTTCATGGTGATCTTCCCTTGGATTGAATTCTCTCTATTCAAAGGCCATCAGGCTAGAAGAAGAGCAACACTAGCCCCCAAATGAGATGCAGAATAGCCTGTCAGTCTCAGTAAGTCTAGCGGAAAACCAGGAAGATGAATTAAATGTGTGCATGGAGGTGGGTGGGAGTAAAGCCCATAAAATCCAAGCTTCTCTTTAGAGAAGACAGAGTCTATTTCAGTATGTCACTGCCCGAGAGAGATGACACCATTACTTCTGAGAAGCAGTGCAGGGAAATGCAGGGGTTTCCTATTCAATATGCAGATTCCTACAAGGAATCATCCTAAGGATTTGACATGGTCACAGCCTTTGAAGTCGTTAAATATTGTTGAGGTTTTGGGAAGTTATGTGATTACATCTAGCACGTACGGTGCTTGGTTCATCCAAGGCTCTCAGAGCATTTTAACAAGAGAGAGCAAGTATCACTAGATTCCTCTCTGTAAAATGGTGCTGACAAGTTAAGGCCTAAACATTTTCAAGTGTCCATTAATCGGGAGCACAACCTGAGCCCCTGAGGGCCTGACTTTCAGAGGTGCTGGGTATCTGTAGAGCCCATCACTTCATGTGGAGTGTGGGTGCTCAGTAGCTCTCAAAATCAGACCCCAGCTGTTTGTAGCTGGGCACCAAACACCCTAAGACCATCCAAAGGAGCAGATGCTTGAAAACATGGCTGTAATTTGGTCAGGCCACACAGTGAGTCACATCACCCAACACTCAGTCCAGTGGGCAATAGAGAAAAGGCAGCAGCTTCTCTTTCTGAAATACCAGCAACTTCACGGCCCAGGACTCATTATAAACAAACAATAAGCGCATCAGAAAGCCACCCGCTCTCAGTGGAAATCAGATCAGTGTCTAAATGCTCAGGCATTGCTCTGGTGGAGGAGTACAACTTAAGACAGCCCAAGCCCTCGGCTGGTCCCTGGCAGGGGGATCTCACCCGGCACTTGACTTCGCCGCCCACGCTGTACTTCTTCTCGGGCTGTTTCAGGAGCACGTCCGCCAGGTGTAGGCGAGGCACCAGCCCCCTGATGTGATCCGTCACCTTCACCTGCATCCCCAAGGGTTTCAGAGCCAACACTTTGCCCTAGAGTCCGGAGAAGAGAGCAGGATCAGTAGTTTTCAGTGTGGGTTGGGGTGTACATGGGAAATGGCCTACCCACTACCCCCCCAAAAATAAACACACCCCGCCCCAAAAATCTATCTAACGTATTAACCACGTGCAGGGCAACAGCTTTACATAAGGGAAGCTACGCTGCATCTTGCACCCGTGTTGCCAGTGCTGTGCTCTCCATGGGCCACATGCTGGTTCTGCTGAAGTCAATGGTAAAATTCCCACTGACTTGAAACAGACCTGGATCTGACCCCATATATATATTATATCCAACATACGATAGGGAATACAAAGCTTTAGAAAGATCATTCTACGCTCACCAAGGCAACTCAAACACCTAGACTGAAATGTCGCTCAGCCAGGTAACTACAGCCTGGAGAACTTGCAAGTTATTTTTGCTGGTGCTGTATTTACATTCTCCCTTTCCAGCACTGGTCTGAAACAAATAGGTGTGAACTGGTATTAACTAGGCAGGGAAAAGACACATCGCCTAAGGCGTGGCAGCAAGTACCAATACTCGACAATGCCGAACGTGTGACGTTCTCTCAGGATCTTACCTCCACCACGTGCCCGGGACAGATGTCTTGGTATCTCAGAAACGGAGCAGCAATAATTCGACTAGGAGAAGATACAGCAAGGGTTGCGGCGTGAGTCATCTTTAACGTGAGGGAAAACCCAGAGGTGGTAAGCACAAGACAACCCCTCTCCTTCCCTCACCCCTGGGGTCTGCCAGAATCTGCCTGGCCCCTATTTATCACATCAATGCTCTGTCCCCCCGCAGCCCTGTGTCAGAGTCATGGTGACGTTCCCCTGTAAAGGTGGTCTGGGCCCAGCCACTGGACTAAGCTCTGTCCCAGTTTATGACACAAAGGATGGTGGCCAGAAGCCAAAACCGTGCATGCAGGGAACCCGCTGGCTCTCAGAGGGCAATACCTTTACTAGACAGGAAGGATGGCCCAGTGGTTAGAGTGCAAGCCCGAGACCTGCTCTGTCGCAGCCTTTCTGTGTGACCTTGGGCAAGTCACTTAGTCCTACTGGACCTCAGTTCCCATCTGTGCAATGGGGAGAACAGCCCGGCCCTGCCCCACGGCGATTGTTGGGAGGAGAAATGTGTTCAAGGTTGTGAGGTTTCAGATAATGGGCAACAGATGAGTGCCACAGACAGCTAATGAGTGGAAACCCCAGGGGGTGGGTTCCAGCCAAACAAAGCAGCACAATATTTTCCACTTATTATCAGACCCTTCTCTCCCCGCAGCTCCCACAAACAATTCTGGAATGGCACCAAGAACTTACTGTTTCAGAGACAACAGGGCCAGCTCATCCATAAGGCTGTAGTCAACGATTCGACATCTGTGCTTGCTTCCCGTCTTAAATGCCCCAGGTTTGAAGGATTTTTTGGTGTCTGAAAGATGCTTCAGCTACAAAAACAAAGGGCGATTTATCACCATTTGGAAATAGAGATAGTATTGACTTGGGAGAACGAGATCTAGACTGACTTGAAGAGGAGAACACAAACCAGTAAGACTCAGCAAGTTTCACATGGGTGTTTTTACCCAGGTGAGATGCAATGCTTACATCCTTCCGCAAGTATGAGTTGGGAGGACACGGAGGAAGACGCAGACAAACCCATTATTTTGGGGAGCAGCTTGTACGATAGTTGCCATGCAGATGACGTCGTATTTTACTGTGTATACACACAATGAATGGCAACGTTCTGCTAGCATAATTTTTTGAAGACCATTAAGAGCACGAGGCTACCAGGCCAGGGCTTGACCTGAGCGCGAGGCCAGCCTGGTACTTTATGAAGGCTGGGCACATTGTACATTAACCTCATTTCTAAGGACCACCCTGAGCTCCTATGGCGTTCTGGTCACTGCAAAACCAGTGGCTTCCTGAAGGATTTCGACCTCAGTCCTGCAAGTGCAGGATGCTCAACCTCTCACAGACCTGGGCCTTATAGAGGGAACTTCAGGCTCAAGTGCAACCAAGGCCAGTGAACCCATCACCAAGGCAGGGAAGGAACTAGTGTAGGCAGGAAGAGAGACTCAGATGAAGGATATGGGAGGGAGGGGTTTTTTGTGGGGCCAGTAAGGGAATAATACCAGCAGGAGGAGAGTGGAAGCCAAGGACAAAGGAAGAGCAGGTTAGAGCAGCAAGACAAGACTAGCCTTCCCCCAGAAAATTGGCCAATACCATGTACACCATTCCTGAGACAGGACTGACAAATGCCTTACACAGTAACAATACTGTATTGCACATTTTACTCCTCTGCTAATATAATCCAACATCCTTCCCCCATCACCCCTATGTGCTGGGCTAAAGGATTCAGTGATTCTTTCACAATAGCCCCCCTCTACCCAAACCACGATAGGTAGAGCCCTGCAGATCGGCAGAGATCCGTTTTATATCTGTGGATGTATTGTTTACCATCTTTGTGGCTCGTGGATTGGATACGGATCCAAATTTTTGTCTTTGCACAGGGATATAACAGTAAGATAGGGTGCTGGTGCGGGTGCAGATGTGGATACATATAAAGGTGGCATGCAGACCATGGGACAGACACAAGCTAATTATCGTGGATGCGGATCCAAGTTTCTGTATCAGCGTAGGGCTCTGAAGATCTGGGCACTAGATCGACTGGCCCAGTCAGCACATGCCTGAAACATACTCCTCTGTCCCTCAAAATACATAACACAAGTGTGACACAGTGGCTCCTTGGCAAAGGGTCCCCTCTTCTTTGCAAACAACTCTCATCTCAGACTTGACAAACTAACTGCACGAAACATGTCTATGGATAAATGTCCGAGAAGAGAGAGAGATAAGAGTAACATGTAAGGTATCCACAGAAGGCTTGTAATTTTTCAAGACACTCAATTGTAGGATGTATATATGGGGAATATTTAAGGAATAATGTATTTATATTGAAAGTCTACTTTATGGACTTAGAGTAGAAATTAATCACCAGGGGATAATGTTTCCTGGTGATGCTTCATTGATGCAGGAGGGAATCGTCATCCTGCCCTAGTTAGCCAGTGATGCAATGCAAGACTCAATTGTCCAGCCTTATTCCAACCCAAGATTTTCAATAGAAAACCATCCAAGACAACCGCAAACACTCAAAACCATGTGAAGGTAGAAAAAGGAGCATTACAACGAGATGGGGGGTTTGCTCTGTCTCGGGGAAAAAAAAAACAAAAGACTGTTTCAGTATCACGGAAGAGGGGGAATGACTGTCAGCATCTGTTCACTGAGGTGACATCTTGGGAGCAGGGATGCTCTTGTGAAAGACTGGATCCTGGTTCTTGTGGAGCCAGCCAGATCGGCAACAGACTGAACTCCTAAGTCACTGATGTGCTTTTGAACATTTTACCCATTGTCTGTGGCACATAAAGGTTAATATTTATGACGAAAACCCCAGAAGATCCCAGGCTTCGCAGCAAGGATTAAGAGTTACATTCTTCCTTAACATTTGCTTTTGTTTTCAGTTTACTAATAAAAATTAAGTACCATCAGCCTTTAGCCATCAAGCCCACAACTCGACTCAAATGTCAGATTACTCCCCACACACCACATACCGCTTATCCCAACGGTTCAGCACAACTGATGGTTGTAAAATGCTGGAAACAGACGTTTATGATGGCAAAGCCCATTTTCACTGTACTATGTAGCATACGTTAACTCAAATCACGTTTCAGAAACACCGTTTAGGTCAAAAAGGATACTAAACATATACATTTTCTTACGTCACTAATAATAACGTAGATTATTAACATGGAATGAATTAGTTTTACTTTATACACTTTATGAGTTTACCTCTCTCTCATCTTGGACAATGAATATAAGAACGGCCATACTGGGTCAGACCAAAAGTCCATCTAGCCCAGTATCCTGTCTTCCGACAGTGGCCAATGCCAGGTGCCCCAGAGGGAATGAACAGAACATGGAATCGTCAAGTGATCCATCCCATCGCCCATTCCCAGCTTCTGGCAAACAGAGGCAGACACCATCCTGGCTAATAGCCATTGATGGACTTATCCTGCATGAACTTATCTAATTCTTTTTTGAACCCTGTTATAGTCTTTGCCTTCACAGCATCCACTGGCAAGGAGTTCCACAGGTTGACTGTGCATTGTGTGAAAAAATACCTCCTTTTGTTTGTTTTAAACCTGCTGCCTATTAATTTCATTTGGTGACCCCTAGTTTTTGTGTTATGAGAAGGAGTAAATAACACTTCCTTATTTACTGTCTCCACATCAGTCATGATTGTATAGACCTCAATGATATTCCCCCCTTAGTCTCTTTTCCAAGATGAAAAGTCCCAATCTTATTAATCTCTCCTCATATGGACCTCATATCCCTAATAATTTTGTTGCCCTTTTCTGAACCTTTTCCAATTCCAATATATCTTTTTTGAGATGGGGTGACCACAGCTGCATGCAATATTTAATATATGAGCATACTATGGATTTATAGAGAGACAATATGATACTTGCTGTCCTATTATCTATCCCTCTCTTAATGATTCCCAACATTCTGTTCACTTTTTTGACGGCCGCTGCACACTGAGTGGATGTTTTCAGAGAACTATCCACAAGGACTCCAAGATCTCTTTCTTGAGTGGTAACAGTTAATTTAGACCCCATCATTGTATATGTACAGTTGGGACTATGTTTTCCAATGTGCATTACTTTGCATTTATCAACATTGAATTTCATCTGCCATTTTGTTGCCCAGTCACCCAGTTTTGAGATATCCTTTTGTAGCTCTTTGCAGTCTGTCTGTGACTTACCTATCTTGAGCAATTTTTATCATCTGCAAATTTTGCCACCTCACCGTTTACCCCTTTTCCCAGATCATTTATGAACATATTGAATAGGACTGGGCTCAGTACAGATACCTGGGGGATCCCGCTATTTACCTCCCTCCATTCTGAAAACTGACCATTTATTCCTACCCTTTGTTATGACCTTTAACCAGTTACCAATCCATGAGAGAACCTTCCCTCTTATCCCATAACAACTTACTTTGCTTAAGAGCCTTTGGTGAGGAACCTTGTCAAAGGCTTTCTGAAAATCTAAGTACCCTATATCCACTGAATCTCCCTTGTCCATATGCTTGTTGGCCCCCTCGAAGAATCCTAGTAGAATATAGAGCATACTCAGTTTCACTTCCTGGTTCTCATGCGCTAGCAACACAGTGCAATGTTTGGGTTGCAAATGCTGCAGGACAACTATTATTTACAACCGATTCCACTTACGTTTTAAAATCCCATTCCCTAGACGTCTCTGGTTTGGTTGGCGATTTCATGCCAGTTTGCGGCAACCCCTCCCATATTATAATCTGGCTACGGGGCATTTATTACTTACACGTGCAAAAGCCAGAGTGCCGTCGTCCAGTTCAAAGATGGCACCAGTCTTTGTGTGGAAGCTCTTCACCACTGCCTCTTCCACCACCATGCCAATCCGACTGCTGGCGAGCTGGCCTAGCATGCTGCCAGGCTGAAGGAAGACCTGCCGCAGGGTGAGCCGGACTGCTTTGGAGGTGGGATGAACAGAGAAGATGCAGGCCTTCACCTGTTGCAGGGGAGAGAGGACGGCAGGATGGTAAGACAGCCTGGCAACCTGAAGAGCCGAGAGCCATTTTCAACCCTGTACTCTCACATCACACCTGCCTCCTGATCTCTTCAGGAGGCTTTGCAGAGGTACAACAAGGACAATGGAAAGTGCGGAGTTATCATTCAGCTCTAATGTTTTTATGGGCTGGGCATTTTTTCTTTAGTTATCTAATTAAATTGCGTAAGCTAGTTTGGTGAGGACAAGGGGAGTGGAGAGTGACTGCAGGCAATCAGCCCCCGCCACAAGCCATTCCCCATCCTCCATTAGACTCTCAGCTGCCAGAACTGTAAAGGGACACTAACCTAGGACTCTCCAGTGGCTACATTCAGAACTCAAAGACATAGCGGCTTCCCTTCTCCCTACCAGGGGTGTAGAAAGAAGGTCTGTGCCAACAAAATTGCTGACATCGATGATTCCACAGAAAAAAACCTTTACCAAAAAATGGTTAGAGAAGGAAAGGAAACAGACATGCTAAGCAGCTTTCTGGTTCCTACAGCCGCTTCAGCATCCACTCACCGTCTGACTTTGTGAATAACTCCCCACTTTCTTCGGATCCAGATGCATGAAGTCCACAATCCCAGTGAAGGAGGAGAGGAAACTCAGAGTGATGCCATATGGGGTCACCTAAACCAAGAAAGAGAAATTCTTCAGCAGGGCGGAAAATTAAATCACGAAATCAATTCCCTACCATTGCAGGGGCCGCGGGCATTGGTGCACTCAGTCCCTCCTGTTTTCTGCCTGTGACACACAACAGTAGAGAGTGTCCCGAGGGCTGTAACACCTTTGTCTAATTCTGGTTGTTTGCTTGGCCTGGGGGTGGCTGGGTGGTGTTGGTAATCTGTGATATACAGGAGGTCAGACTACAGGATCTGATGGTTCCCTCCTGACCTTAAACTCTATGACTCTAAATCTGTGTTAAAAGTTCTCATCCAGATCAAGATGCAGACAGCACTTTACTTCCTCCACTAATAGGCATCTTGTCAGTGCTTACTAACAAGTACGCCGAATAGGACAGGTTAATTGCTCAACAGTTGGCTTTTTGCCACTACTAGAAAAGAATACTTTTAATGTTTCTAACTGTACATTTGATCTCAAGTCCAGAGTCAACCTGTGCTGGTTTACAAGCAGGTGTTTTTCCCATCTTGCACTCCCAAATCCCATTTTCCATTTAAAAACAAACCAACCACTAAGATCCCAGCCCTTGTGGTTGCACAAAAAAAAAAAAAGAACCAAGTGTGAACAAATACAGTGAAATCTGCCTGAATCTGTAGGGAGCCTGAAACAAGAGTTCAGCAGTGTCAGCTGCACCCATTCACGTGATGGGCTGTTAACTCTGAAGTCTAATGCTGAAACGTTCAGTGCCAGCTATTTCACCAATGATCGAAGGAGAAGGACCATCAAAGATCTCCATAATATACTGAAAGTGGTGTCAAGTGGGTGGAGCTGGGGAGAGGGCCACCGTTCAGGTTTTCCCCAGTTCAACTTCTGAATGAACTTATGGAAATGTTCATATGAAAAGGAGGAAAGTTTCTCCCGTTTCCATGCCCACAAGAAAAAGGTCCAGAGGCCAAGCAAGGAGAGTTGAAAGGTTAATGCTTTACCCATCCTGCCAGCAAGTTGCCACTTACATTTATACTTGGTGCAGAAGGCCAAAGAGCTAACTCCATCTTGCAGTTAACATTTTCTGGAGGGCTTTTAGACACCTTAGTGTTGTTACAGAAAGAAAAGGGACTCAAAAATGGCACCTGGTTAATGCCCTTGTGCTGTTTGACCCAGATCTGCTCATTCCCTGACACAACGGAAGATTTTACTCCTACAGAGGAGCTGTTCTTCCACAGAGCTACAAGACCAAGAGCAGGAGATGAGCAAACTGGATTTGACTCTGCCTAGCACTTCACCACCACCACCAGCCAATCACAGATATCAGCATCTTTACGCCTGGTGACTGGGCACAGAGCAGAGCTCAATTTCTAAGATTGAGCTGGCGGTGCTGGCAGGCAGAAATAACTTATTTTGATTTGTAAACTCACTGAGTTCCAGCTCAGTTTTGCTGGGGCAGAATACATAGGAAGATGTCCATCACAGTCCCGATCATAACTCCACCTCAACAATCCTTCAGAAAAAGCGGAGTTTTACCTTCTGCACCTGTGCTTTCACCACCAGCCCTGGCAATAAGTTACTGAGCGTCCAGTTCTGTTCCTCTGTTGCAATGGCTGCAGCAACCTCCGACTGACTAATGGACAGACGGACAATTCTTCCGTTGTTTTTCACTTCTTCAATGAGACAGTTCAGATACTGGCCTATTTTCAGCTCAGCCCCTACAAAGACAGGACACATACCAAAACCCCAAATCATCTTCCTGTCTGTCATATCCCCCTGCTTCGCCTTCTGAAACCCTTCACTAGCTCCCCCTCTCCAGCCAAATTCAAGCCTCTTTTCGAGACCCTCCCTCCTAATCCACTCTCATCTCTTATCAGTGCCCCACCCTGTTAAGATGCCCTTAATGCCAGTTTCAGCCATGCTTGCCCAGGCCCCCGTGTGCATGGAACAGCCTCCCTGAAAAGACCTATAAGGGCACTACCCTCTGCTCTTTCAAAATCTCTGCTCTCGATCCACTTCTGCTGCAACACCCATCAGAAAACCAGTCAACGTTTAAATGGCTGGCACTCAGGGAAACGCAATGCTTTATTTATGCAATTACAAAGCAGTTTTTTTAAAATAGGAAGTATCTCTGTGGCTAAAGACTGAACGTATCCAATTTTCTCCCCATGCCTCACCCTCTGTATACTGCTCGTTTTCTTAGACTGTTAGCTCTTTGCAGTAAGGACCCTGTCTACTGTTGTGTTTGTAGTGCCTAGCACAACCAGGCCCTGGTCCCAACAGGCCTCTGGGCACTAAGGTAATATAGTTAAATGGGGATGAGAAGGACTTTTTCCATGCTCACCCGGAGAACACATGCCTCACAGGAAGCAGCAACGCAAGCTCCTCCTGCCTCCTGGCACCAGATCTAGAGTGCAGAGAACAATTCCCTTTTACCCGTGGCCTTTGCGGATGACAGGCCACAAATCTATTTCTTGTAGCCACCAGATGATACATACATCAGGAATCTGCCAGTCTGAGCCAGAAGAGAGCCATCTGACCAAAGCAGCAGAGAACGGTGCTCTCTGAGCTTTTCAGTTCTAGTGCGTTTAGGGACTTTTACCGATACACCTCTGGAGCACACGCCTTTAACCAGGAAACTGCCACTTTGGTTGGTTGCTTTCAGATGGGTGTGGATTTGGTGCCATGAGAAGGGGCTCTCTAGACAATCCTGGAGACCAATCAAACCTCGGGACAGGCAAAGTGTCGGTGGCAGCAGCACGCGCTTCTCCTGCGCCATCCTGCCAACGTGCCTCAACCAGGACCCAGAGCGAATACTTCTCAGGGTGGGGGAAATGAAAGGGGAGAGGTAGTGCCCATCTCCATTTGAACCTGGGCCTTTCTGCAATAGTGTCCAACACGGGGAATGACTAGTGCCAGTCAGGATGCAGGTGTTTACAAGGAGTTATACCAGCTGATCAGGAAATGAACTGACAGCCAACAGCTCATTGTTCAATGGCTGTGCACAACCGTACGCTGGCAGAGACGTCTGATCTCTCCTGACCTGAGCTAAGTTTGAGTCAGCTAGGTAGAGCTGAAAGTCTCCCGTCCCATCCCCGCTCCTCTGAGCCAGCCAGTTCTCCGTCTCCAGCTTTAGTTCCTGCTGGATGCCTTACCTTTGTTGGCTGATTTGATGTAACTCTGGGACTTCTGACGAGGCAGAAATGCTTTAGCACCACTGACTCCAATATCTATGAGGTAGCCGTGATCTTCCACACTAGATACCAAGCCAGATAGCAACTGTGGGGAGGGAAACATTACAATTCAACAATATAAAGGAACGGTTAGATCGACAAGGAGAACAATTCTGTCAGCAGACTGCTTGCACTCAGATTTCCTTCTCTCCTGGGGTCAGAGTGCTGGAATTCCTCCCACTGGTTTGGACATATTATACCCTGCCTCCTCTGGAAATGCGGTCTCAGCTGTCCTCTTGTCCAACTAAGGCATGTATCTATGGGATTTTTGGCTTCCTGAAGCTCTGGCAACATCAGGACATTGAAAAGTAACAGGCACCCACACTGCTGACACATGCCTGCCGCCTCAGTGAAGCTGGGTGCAAGAGAATAATTAACTAGGCTCACAACACCTCTGTGAGGCGGTAAGGTAAGTATTATCCCCATTCTACTGATGGAGAAGCTGAGGCAGCAGAAGTTAAATGACTTCCCAAGAGCCAACAAGCCAGTGGCAGAGAACAGATCCCATAAATCACAGCTCAGGCCTGTGTTCTACCCACTACACCACACTTCCTACCAAGATCAATTACACCAGAAAAGGCACAGATCCTTGCTTGAATTGCATGCAGTGGCAAAACTGAATGCACACAAGGAGACACGAGGGCAAGGAGGAAGCGATCTCCAAAGTGCAGGGTGGCTGCGGTACACCCAGAACACCTACCATGCCGGATCTAAGAGCTGTAGTGTTCAGAGCCTTGTTGACATCTTTGGGGTTAATTGACAGCTTGACACTCTGGTGTCCATCCATGGTTTTCCCCACGCTGGTCACGGTGCATCTGATCAGCATTCCAGGGGGGTACAGGTCCGACAGCGAGTTCAAATCCTAAACAGCAAAACAGTTAAAGGAGATCACGAAAAATCATAAGATCATTATGCAGGAGACCAGAAACTGTCACTGAAGAGGTTTTTGAAATCCAAACCCAAGAGGAAAGCTCTATTCTCAGCAGCAGCTAAATGCCACAAAGGCTGGGGCCCTGGGTACAGTAGGCTCGTGCCCCAGCCTGGAGTTTCAAGCCTGACTCGGGACACACACACAAGACATATGTAATGTTACAAGGCTGAGATCAAAGGATTCAACACAGCTGCCAGGCTCTGTCCAAGACCGGAACAGCAGGAGGTGCTACAGGTCAGGATTAAGATACATCGCCCACGCTGATTATGACCCCAGTCTCGGGTCTCCGATTAGCAAAGAGGTAAAAGGTGGGAAAAGAGCAAGGGGACTTTGGCATTTTGCCGTTCCCAAAATTCCGTTTTAAACAGGCACGGACTATGGTGGGAAGGGGAAATATAAACATGCGCAAAAGGTAACAGACTATCTCCCTTCCTTTCTTTGGAACATCTGTGTCATCAGGGAATTACATAGGCTGCTTGGAGTCCCTCCAATACCTATCTGCCATAGCATGACCTGGCAATACACTGCACAGAACATCACAGAAGCCATCTTTTGGGGGGCTGCATAGGGGTTGGGGAAGAGGACAGAGTCCTCTGAGTCCCTGTTGGAAAGTAGAAGATTCTCCCAAACACATCCCCAAAAGTTTCATCTTTCAAGTCCCCCCGCCACATATATTAGCTATAGGAACTCCTTAAGTAGGGAGGGGTATTCAGTGATGGTTGCTGTTGACCAGTGCATTGAACATGCTGCCTTTAACATTCACAGGCCATGCTGGCCAAGGAAACAAGAAAGCAGGTCAGGGAAGGGATCAGAATCTCCTGTACATCAGTGGAAACTGGGTTCTCCCACCGGGGTCTTGCAAGCAGAGGCCCATTTATTTTACCCAGTCCCAGGACACACACCATCCCTCAGGACTCCCCTCACCTCCAGGAGCTCTTCCGTGGCCACTTGCGCATTCAGCATTTTGCTGTAGGCATCGCAAATGTGCGTCACTTGCACAAATCCAGTGAGTCCATTAGGCAAACTGACCACTAACTCAAAGTCGTTAGACTCCTTCACGCAGCCGAGCAGCAGCATCCCCTCACTCAGGGCCTGGAACAAAGAAAAAGTAGCACTCGGTGGATCTCAGCAAGCCACAGATTTACCATGTCTAATGAGACTGAAAATTAACCACTGAAAGTCAAAAAAAACTCAGCACCTTTTAACACCCAGACTCAGGCCACAAATCACTATCAGCTCCTCCGTGAGTTACCAAGCCACTCAATAACCACTGCTGACATACTGCAATTAGAAGCAGACCTCTTAAAAGGTCAGTGGAAAGCAGCAAAAACCTTAGAAACAGGACTACAGCCCCTCCTACTGTCAGTGCTGGGAGAAGGAATGACTGATGCGGACATAAGCTTCCCCGACTAGAGAAACCTGTCACACTCTTGCAGTAGGGTGTCCTACAGAATCTTCTACGCAGCAACCATGAAGGAAGGTGTATGTTCCACCTTCCAAATTGAATACAGAGGGCTGGTCTACACTACCGCTAAAGTCGATGTACCTTACATTGCTCAGGGGTGTGAAAAAAACCACCCGCCTGAGCAACATAAGTTTTATCAACTTAAAGCGCTGTCTGCACCGCACTATGTCGGCGGGAGACACTCTCCCACCAACAGAGCTTCTGCCTCTCGTTGAGGTGGGGTAATTACATTGATGGGAAAGCACTCTCCCGTCAACATAGGAGATGCCCTACATGCTGCACCAATGTAGTGCGGTAGTGAAGACAAGCCCAGAGATTGTCAAACTGGATCAGAACCAAGCTCCACCTAGTCCAGTATCCCATCCCAGCCAGAGGTCAGAACCAGATCCTTCAGAGGAAGACATAAGAATCACCAGAGTTGTGGGCAGACACAGGATAATCAGTCTTCCACATAGGGCTTGTCCTAATGCCTGAAGCACAAAGTTTAATATCTCTTCCCAAATTTTTGTCATCATTAATTATAACAAATCTGGATATTCTTGAGATCCATATACAGCAGAACCTCAGAGTTACGAACACCCAAGTTATGAACTGACTGGTCAACCACACATCTCATTTGGAACCAGAAGTACACAATCAGGCAGCAGCAGAGACGAAAAAAAGAACAAATATAGTACAGTACCGTGTTAAATGTAAACTTCTAAAAAAATAAATGGAAAGTTTAAAAAAAAGATTTGACAAGGTAAGGAAACTGTTTCTGTACTTGTTTCATTTAAATTAAAATGGTTAAAAGCAGCATTTTTCTTTTGCATAGTAAAGTTTCAAAGCTCTAATAAGTCACTGTTCAGTTGCAAACTTTTGAAACAACCACCATAATGTTTTCTTCAGAGTTACAAACATTTCAGAGTTAGGAACAACCTCCACCCGAGGTGTTCATAGCTCTGAGGTTCTACTGTAAATATCTAATTACTTGTTAAGTTCTTGGCTTCCATGACTTACTGTGGAAATGAGTTCCACAGTTTAATCACATGATGTGTAAAAAAAACTGTTTTCTTTCAGAGGTTTTGAATTTCCTACCTTAAATTAAATTGAGTGTCCCCTTGTTCTTGTGACAGGAGACAGTGAAACTGACACTCCTGATCTACCTTCTCCAGACCACTTTGTATTTTACATATCTTAACATGTTTGTCTTATTCAACTCCTTTCAAAGGTACGACTTAAAGCAAAGGAAGTGGAATGATCGAGAGAACAGGTCATTAAGGGTTAAACATGTGCATGTGGGGAGGGATGGAATAGCAGCCACAGAACTGAGAGCTGGACAATAGGTCCTGTTCAAAATCACGAAGTGTGCAGCAGATGGAGGGGGGAAAAAAGTGACTATGGCCAATTTGATAGCAAGGAAACCAAGAGAGATACAGACTCAGCAGGCCTCAGAAGCATTCAGCTCAGTAGTGCAATTCTCTGTGGAGATTAATTTGATTGTATACAGCTTTTCTTAATGATCAGAACTTTATTGCAGTTAGTGTCACTTTTTGCAGCAGTTAATTCTGCATCCTGTGACAGTTCTAAGTGTTAATGCTTTGCCTTCATTAGCTTGCGGAAGACCCGGAGAAGATGTGCAATTTCTTACATGTCATTGAACTCCTTCTTGCCAGTGAAGGAGAGGCTGTAAAAAGGAGCCCAGCCCTCCCTTACCTAAAGATTGGTGGTTCTGAGATAGACCCAGGAATAAGGAACCTCATAGCTGCACTAGACCCAATGGAGGTCAAAATACACAAATCATAGAATAATAGAAATGTAGAACTGGAAGGGACCTTGATAATTCACATAGTACAGCCCTTTGCACTGAGGCAGAACTAAGAATTATCTTCTAGACCATTCCTGGCAGGTATCTGTCTAACCTGTTCTTAAAAAATCTCCAGTGATGGAGATTCCACTGCCTCCCTAGGTAATTTGTTCCAGTGCTTAAGTACCCTGACAGTCAGGAAGTTTTCCCTAATATCTAACCTAAATCTCCCCTGTTGCAATTTAAGCCCATTACTTCTTATCCCATGCTCAGTGGATAAAGAGAACAATTTATCACCCTCCTCTTCATAACAACCTTTTAGATACTTGAAGACTTATCTGAACACTCATCCACAAACCTCAACCGTGAGAAGTTCAAAATCCTTGGCATTAGCTTTAATGACTTCCTTTTTCTCTGCCTTGAGCTTTTTCCGCTTTCCTTGATCTTCTTGGATTCTCTTCCTTTTCTGGGATCCTTCTTCATTATGAGTCTAAGGCAGATTTTAAAGGGGGGGGGGGGAGGGAGACAAGAGAATAGAAAGAGATAACTTGTGCTCCATGAAAGAAGAGCAAAATCATCAGTCATCCCAGATTAGGGGGAAATGCTAGAGTTAGGGAAGGAAATTCTATTGCAAACCTTTATGTTCAGTCATATATAGGTCTCTCAGAATTTCTCCCTTTGGGCTGAAACTTAACATACCTGGTTAAAGAATGAATATGTTTGACCAGTTTGAGCAAAACCGTTCAACGGCTTTTGAGTTAAAACAAGCAGAAAAAGACATTTCCTCCCCTTCTTCCTTCAGGGAAAAAAAAACAACCACCAGCTCCCTTGAGCCTTCATTTGCAGAGAAAACTCAGGAGTGACTGAGGGCATGTCTACATTTAAAACGCTGCATCGGAACAGCTGGATCAGTGCAGCTGTAGCGTTTTAATGAAGATGTTCTACACCAATGGGATAGAGCTCTCCATTGGCACAGTTAATCCAGCTCCCCAAGAAGCTCTCCCATCAACATAGCACTCTCCACAGGGGATTAGGTCCGTATAACTACGTTGCTATGGGGTGTAGATTTTTCACACTCCTGAGCAACGTAGTTATATCAATATAGGTCTATAGTGTAGACCACAACCAAACCTTAAAACCACAAATTAGCCTTGACATAGACCCTGATTCATCAGAGCACTTAAGGAGGTTCTTAACTTTCAGCACAGGAGCAATCTAAGGACATGTTTTAAGTGTTTTGTTGGATCGATGCCTGAGCCCTCAGTGAGGCAGCTCTGCATTGCTAAGTCTGAAACGATTTGTTTAGAAATAACAAAGTAACTGATATATTAAAATGGAGGGGGGGGTAGAAGAGGAGGTCATTCATCCTGTTCTTTTAGACACAGAAACATGAAAAAAGAAAAACATATCAGATCAAATTAACCCCAGCATAGCGCCACTGAATTCAATGCCCTTACACCAGTGTTGGATTTGGCCCACATCTCTCTAGAAGCTCTTACCTCTAAAAGCAGATCACATGCAATCAGACACCACTGAGATATTTCAAAGTTAAACCCTGATCAATTTCTAAGGTGCCACAAGTACTCCTTTTCTGGTTGCTTAATGGTTTGCCATCACATTCACCCAGAGTCAGACATCTGCCAAAAGTCATGAAAATCATGGATTCCATGATGATGATCAGTCACAAGTACTAAAATGAATGTTGGGGCTCAATCCTGCAGCTCTCACTCAGACAAAGCTGTCATGGCCATTGGGAGTAAGACCTACAGAATCAGGTCTTTACGCTAATTGGCAGTGGAATGGCTCTCAGAGAGTTTCATCCATCATGTGCACACAACTCACATCAAATAAGTTATCCTGCTCTATTGGTCGCCTGGGTGCTTTTCCCTCTGAAGGTTTTTTCTGGGTGCCACCTCGAGGGAAGTTTTCTTCCATGGATGCCATGTTTGCATTTCTATGGGGGAAGCAAAAACACAGGAGTGGAATCTGCAATTGTTGTGACATCAGAGTTTAAGTGACAGGAGAAGGAATTATCTTGGAAACTAAACAAAGATTCCTTTGGCTTTTTTAGTAAATGACAAAAATAAAATAAAATAAAATAAATATTGAATGCATCTAGAGGCTTAGAAGACAAAATATAGGCCTCTGAGAACACTTCAATGTACTTGAAAATGACAGTTATACACGTATTAGAGACAAAAGGTGGGTGAGATATCTTTTATTAGACCAACTACTGCTGGTGAAGGAGACAAGCTTCCGATCTTACAGAGCTCTTCTTCAGGTTATACACATATATTAGTCACCAGAACTTTTCACTAGGATCCTACTCACAAACATTACCATAACAGTCTTCAGTGACAACTGAGAACCTGGTATACCTGATGCTTTAAAACTTAGAAACTCGTTGAGGAGATCCCTAATAAAGGAATCATCTGCACACTTGTGTGCAACAGGTGAAGCAGAATCTCCACAGATGAGTAACAATACATGCCTTCAGACATATTGCCTGGGGCAGTGATCTTGTCAGATCTCACAACCCTAAGCAGTCAGGGCTGGTTTACACTACAGAGCCTTGGCCAGCACAGCTATGCCAGAAGAACCACCCTACTGTAGTAACAGCGTTGCCAGCAGGAGTAGCTCTTCTACTGACAGAGCTACACCCTCACCCCCACACAACATGAGCTGAGCCAGCAGAAGCACTCTTTTGGAGGCATAGATGTGTCTATGGAGGTGGCCAGCATAACTACATTGGACAGACGGCGTCATTTTTCGCACCCCTAACTGACACAGCTATACCAACAAAACTTTGTAGTGTAGGCCAGGGCTCAAACTAGCAGTACCACAGTCGCTGCAGGAATTGGTGTCGACACGTCAGTGGATGCGTGGGTGTAACTAACCCTTTTGAGTCAGTACTGAACCCGCATTTTAGCATTTTGTTGGGGGCCACTGGCTGCCAGTCATGTCATTTTTTAGATAAAACAGAGGTCCGGACCACTTGTGGTCAATTAAGATGCCACAGCTCTTCCCTTTGCACATGCACAAAGGCGGTCACACAGTCTCATAGACAAACTACACGTTAAGTCATTATATTTTACATAGACACACCCCCAACATCACCCCTGCTGCTTCAGCTGTATACAGTAACCCTCTTTACCGCCTGTCTAAACTGTTGTGAGGTGTTGTTATGCACCATTTCAATAGTTCCCCACCCCCGGGTATTTCAAGGGCAGCAGCAGAATACTGGTGAAAGGATATAATCAAGTAAACTGCTGTACTAATAAAAGCTAAATTCCCTTTAAGACAGAGAAACTAATCTAAAGTATATTACACTTCAGGCACACAGAAAAACAGGTCAATGGGAGCCAGGGCAAAAGGGAATAAACTGTTCTCTGGGCCACAGAACGGGGAGACCCCCCCCCCACCCTATTATGAGAATCGTTCGTCCCCAGCCCCGTGGGGAAACCAGCTCCCAAAGCGAGGGGACCGCAGCCCAGCGACCCGCCCGGCCGGGGGCTCAGTCCCCTCCCAGTCTCCAGGAGGGGACCCAATGCATGTGCTCCCGGCCTCGGCCAAGGCCGGCGGCGCTGAACTCAGCGGCTGGCAGGGGAGAAGGAGCCAGAGGGATCCCGCCCAGGGACTCCCCTGCTGGGGGCTGCGCGGCAGGGTCCCTTCTTCCCTCCCACCCCGAGCCGGGCCCTGGGGCGGTCCCCTTCGCTCCGTGCTGGGCCACGGGGCTGGAGCCGGGGGCGGGTTCCCTGGCCAGACTCCCTCACCTCGCTCAGCAGCACATGCGGGACACCATCGCCATGACCCGGAAGCACTACCCGGGAGCACAAGGTCAAGCGGAAACCTCTCGCTCACCGGGGCAAGAGCGGTCAGAGACGCGTAGTAACCATCAGGCCAATCCAGGGGGAGGGGGAGGAGCATCGGCTGATGGGCATCTTCCAAAGCCAATCCTCAATCCCCACTCTACGGCCTCGCCTACCGGAAGGACCGAGTGGTCCAATCAGGCGAGACATGTCTGCGCGGAGGCGGGATTTCCCGGCGCCATCTTGCCTGTGGACTTGGAGTCGGCGAAGGGCACCGAGCGGCTGCTGCAGGGGAGCGCGCGGCAGGTGGGGGCGGTTTCGGGCCGCGGTCTCTGCGCGCGTGACGAGCCCGGCGCGGGCGCCGCGAGCGCCTCTCCCCAGCGGGCGGGCGGCCGGCCCCGGGGTCCCTGGGCGGTGCCGTACCGCACCGCGGGGGGCTGCTGTGACCCCTTGCCTCGGGCGCGATTCCCATCGGGGCTGCCCAGGCTCCCTCTGCCGCCCGGCCGCGGGAGCGGATGCCCCCTGACTGCGCAGCAGCGGGTCTCGCTCCGCTTTGTAGCCGGCCTCGCAGACCCCCCCCCCCCCCGCAGCCCTTGTCCGACCCTCGCCAACCCCCCCCCCACACACACACACACACACCCGGGGCTGGGCAGCCCTGGGTTGGCACCGCCGGCCGAAGGAGACTGGCTGGAAGTGGGGCTGACCGGGGACCCAGCTCTGTGTCTGGGGGCGGGTTGCCCTTCCCCGAGCTCTCTCCCGGTCCCTGCCTCACTGGGTCGCTGAAGGCCGAGATCCGTTTGGCCATTGCTGCCGTGGAAAGGAAACGGACTCAACGAAGCTGCCCCGAAAGCGTTTGTAGGTGCCTCGTGGAGCTGGGTCTGGATTCTCCTGGCAGCCCAGCCTTGTAGCTGTGCTGTCCCTTTTCCCTGAGAATAACCCACGGTCCAGTGTCGATCAACAGCGCTTTCCGCAAGGTCGGAACTGGGGAGGTGAAATTTCTCCCATTTACATTCGCGTTTGATTTACAGGGACTTGTAGGTACCGTCAGTCTCGTGCCGGGGACTGGGAAATGGGCTTCTTGTTGCACCTGGGATGGAATGAGTTGAGAAAGTGAAGTTGTGGGTGCACCTGGCTTTTTGGTGCAGCTAGCGGCAACGCCTGGCCTGGGTGGTGATGAAACCTGGAGGAGTGTGGTGCAGCAGAACTGGCTAAGGAGGGCACCTGGATTGTCCGAGAAGCAGAACCTACCTATTAATATCTTAGTTCCAAATGATCTACAAACTATCCCACATAGTAACTCTGTCTAGGACCTTTTAACAATAGGTTTCAGAGGAACAGCCGTGTTAGTCTGTATTCGCAAAAAGAAAAAGAGTACTTGTGGCACCTTAGAGACTAACCAATTTATTTGAGCATGAGCTTTCGTGAGCTACAGCTCACTTCATCAGATGCATACCGTGGAAACTGCAGCAGACTTTATATACACACAGAGAATATGAAACAATACCTCCTCCCACCCCACTGTCCTGCTGGTAATAGCTTATCTAAAGTGATCAACAGGTGGGCCATTTCCAGCACAAATCCAGGTTTTCTCACCCTCCACCCTTTAGGAGGTCTAGGTCTAGGACCTTTTAACAATAGTGACTGTTGGTGTAAGATCCCCTATGAAAGGGAAAGGATGGGAAGAATGATGATCCTGCCTTTTCAAAGCTCTGCTGAGTTGGGGACCCTTATCCTTAGTCTGTAAAGCTACTGTAAATGCATTTTGGGAGCTCGCTGAAAGTTAGAGTTCTCCACTGCTGCATACCAAAAACTGGAGAAGGTCCGGGTTTACACCAGAGACATAGATTAGGAACAGAATGATGCATCGGCTGTCTTGATAGAGATGGAATCTGGTGATGAAGTTCTTCTGTGAGTAGCACTAGATGAGAAGAGGCACTTAGTGATAATGGAGTGACTTCATCTGGTGAACCATTAAAATTATGTGACAAGTTTGCTTTGGGCTGAACCCTAGCGTAAACACCAAACGTTTGTCCTGGGAAAAACTTAGACTAATACTCTACAGTAATATTGAGTTAACTGAAGTTAGTGCAGAATCACTAACCCATGCTTAGACGTGGGCAGGGACCAATAAAATGTGGTGGGATCCTTCAGTAATCTGGTAAACTAATTTGTGGGATTGCTAGTCTGTAAACAGGAGGCATTTAGAACTGAAATAGCAGAGGTTTATCTTGGGTAGGGATTGTGGTGCATTGCTTTTTCAGTGAATCTGTGGCCAAGAATGTCAGTTTTTTCACGAACTCTGAGAAATCTTCATTTTCAAAAATAGGGAGAATGGAAATGTACATCTAAAAATTCAACCCAAAGGACTTCAAAAATCATAACCATGTTGCACAAATCTCTTGGTTTTCCCTTTCAGACATCTACAAAAACCCTCGGTATTTATCAGAGGGGTAGCCGTGTTAGTCTGTAGCCATAAAAACAACGAGGAGTTAGTCTTTAAGGTGCCACTTGCTGTTTTTGTGGATACAGACTAACACATTTATTTGGGCATAAGCTTTCATGGGTAAAAACCCCACTTCTGCAGATCTGAAGTGGGTTTTTTACCCACGAAAGCTTATGCCCAAATAAATGTGTTAGTCTTTAAGGTGCCACTGGACTCCTCGTTGTCCTCATTATTTACTAATTTGTCTTTATTTGCTTTCATATAGCTACCTATATCTTTGCCTTGAATCAGTTGTTTTCTTTTTCCAGATAGAGCAATCCTAAGTGCACTGGAATCTACTTGTGTTACGTATATCCAAGGCTCTGTTAAATATAATTAATTAAATTTTCAATAGCTGGCACTGGCAGCCCCAAATGTAAAACTTGCTGAGGCAGCACTCGAAGTAATCATTGCACTAGTCACCTGCTGAACTATCCAGCAGATACACCTGAATGTACACACACTAACTTGTCCTTCATTGCATCTAGGACCAGCAACCATGGCAGGACATGACTCTGGAACACAGCACAAGTTCACTGGTTTTCAGAAATACTTCAATTCCTACACCATAACAGGCAGAAGGAATGTATGTACTAGTTAACTTGCCCTTAACAGTCACACTTCAAGGGTGCTTTATAAGGCATCTAAGTTTAATTTTCTTTTTTCTTTCTAGTATGTAATAGCTACATATGCAAGCATTGCCATGATCATCTTATATTTCAAGCTAAGGCCTAAAAAACAAACTCCAGCAGTGACGGAAAAATAGTGGTAAGTGGCTGTTTTTTTATAGCACCCAAAAGAAATTCAGTCCCTACCCTCCCCTAGCAAGTAGGGGTGATGGCAGATGGGGAGAACAGGAGTGAGAGAGGCTATTAATGTAACCAGGTGATGATCACATGGTTCCCAAGCTTAGGCATGTGCATATCCTGTGGTTTAATTAAAGTTTAAAATTAATTCTTTAAAAATTGAGTCACTTATTGTGGACATTGTGAAAGTGGTAAGTTTTTGAAAGGATTTAAATGAGGTGGAGTGTCGGCAGTCCCAAATGCAATGCATTGCTAAAAGGACCCTGTTGGTTTAAAGACATATTTAAAATTCTTCTCTTACTGCTGACTCCAAGAACGATTGATTAAAATAGGGAATCTTCAAGCTAACTTCACTGCCTAGGCTATGTGCCTCTAGCCCAGGGGTGGCCAACCTGTCGCTCTGGAGCCACATGCTGCTCCTCAGAAGTTAATATGTGGCCCTTTGTGTAGCCACTGACGCTGGGGCTGGAGCTACAGGCGCCAACTTTCCAATGTGCCAGGGGTGCTCAACCCCTGGCTCTGCCACAGGCCCTTCCCACTCCACCCCTTCCCGCGCCCTCCCCTGAGCCTGCCGGGCCCTCGTTCCTCCTGCATGCCAGAAAACAGCTGATCTGGAGGTGTGTGTGGAGGGAGGGAGAGGTGCTGATCAGCACGACTGCGGGGGGTGGGGGAGAGGCACGGGGTTGGGGGGAGCGCATGGGGGGCTGCTGATGTATTACTGTGGCTCTTTGGTAATGTACATGGGTAAATTCTGGCTCCTTCTCAGGCTGGCCATGTCTACTCTAGCCATTTCAGCTTAGAGCTTGTAAAAAAAACTAGTTTCACTTTGGTTTAGTCACTCTTACCAATTCTGCAATCAGGCTGACTTGCATTAACAAAACTGTAGCATGTTTGGATTGCAAACAAACATTTCTCTGCAGTGTTTTTAAACAGTACTGGAGTAAAAAATTCTCAAGCATTTCTATTGGTCTTGAATTATATAAGTGGTGCTACCAGCCTCACGTTAAGGTTGCCTGACACTTCCCATAGAAAGAGCCTGTTTTTAGTTGCTTGTAACTTTGCCATACTGTTTGGGGTTAAATTTTTCATGCTAGGTGTCTGCCTTAAACTTCAGCCAAAATCGTGCAGCAATTTTCTTGAATGAGGTGAAGGGAAAATGTATTTTCCCCAGGGCTTGTTTTGTTTTTTAAATAATTTCTGGCAACCTTTTCTTAGAATAGCGCTTGCACCCCACATGTTTTAGAGCAGTGACTTGAAACTTGGCAGGGAGGTGGCCGTTGTGTCAGGAATGTGCTTTCTGTCATCCCTGTGAAAATGTGCCTTTGGAAAAATGACAATTTGCACATGCTCAGTAGAGACTTCTTAGACTTCATCACTAAATTACCCAAAGTCTTTCAGCACTGGGCATGCCCCAGCTTGGAGCTAAGCAGGACTGTCTCCCTGCAATTGCAGCCCTGGGCTGCTGTGGGCCAGGCTGGTTCTGGACACCTGAACTGAGAACAGGGAATCTTTGATCTCAAAGATGCCATTGCCGGGCCCAAGTAGCATGGAGGAAGATGCTGCCTGATTCGAATGCAGAAGGCAAAGTGAGACTAGAGGCTGGTTGGAATGGGAGAGGGGGACCTAGCCAAGAAGATGGGGACAGAATCAGTGGGGCAGGGGAAACTAGGTATGGGGAGAGGGAAGACAGATCTGATGAGCTGGGGTACAGGCAGAGAACCACTAGTGGCTGGGCAGACAAACCAAGATGGGAGGTCCAGAGGGGTGAAACTAGGACTTACTGGGCAAGGAGACTGGGACAAAAGACCTGAGGAGTGGGCCTGGTACTGACTGGGTGTGGAGAATGGGACCAGGATGAGGAGCCAGCGCACACCCCTCCAGAGCCTTGAAGGGAACCCAAGAATCCTGAGTCTCACCATTCTCCTGCTGTCACCAAATATCTGAAACCCCCTGGCCAAGTCTCATCCCCCTCTAGTGCTGGTCACACAGAGGATGACAACCTCCTACTGCTATCAGTTACTCAGCTGAAGTAGCAGAAGTCCGTGCAGTGGTGATGAACCCTGCTGATGAACCATGTGAGTGTTAATTTGATGCTACATGATGGCATTTCTGTGTTTTTCAGTTTGCTTTTTAAAAAACTTAAGACACTACACTAAAAGAACATTGAAGTTGCAAAGGTCAAGTACTCAAAATTAGGAAATGCCCGAACTAAGGTTGCCTGCACAACCTTAATTTGGCCTCATGTTATGTTACCATTTAATTACATGATATTGTCTTTTCTCCCCTGCAGGACCCCTGCCTCATTCATTGCACAGAATGGATGTTAGTCACTTAACAAAATAGCAGCTCATTAGGTGAGCACTGTTTATTCTTGACCCTGAAAGAGGCAGGGGAAATGTGGTGCATTCTAATGCACAGGCGCAAGTGGGTTGATTTAAGGTCGCACAGGTAACCCTAATTCTGGCATTTCCTAATCTTGAGTGCTTGGCTTGGTAATGCAATGTTTTAACTTAACTCAGAGAGTTATCTGTTTCTCAGCCATAATGAAAGAATTAATTGTCTGATAGCCTTTTAAAAACCCTAAATTTGATATGAACTCTTTAAATGTGCTATGCAGTAATAGGAGTACTTAACTGCTGAATAAAACCATCACTTAACAAATGAACATAGTTTGACTTACTGAGCACATTTATCAAGACAAACTCTTGCATTCATGCAAAGCACTGTCCAGTCTGCAGTATGGAAAACCTAGTCCTTTAAAGAGAACTATCATGAAAAAGCTAGACTTGAAAACTTTGGCCTTAGTGCATACAATCCTTGAAAAGATCTAGATGTAGAAATGGATCTGTGAAGTAGGGTTTAGGGGTATCGTGCTCAGCTGTCCACTGCATGACTGGCATTCTCTGCTCAAGACACATTGCAGGACATTCTTCTTAAAGTTGCTTACCTTAACATGGTTGTGGTTTTTTTTTTGTTGTTTTTTTTTTTTTGGGGGGGGGGGGGGGGGAACTACCTATACCCAAGCTAGTAGCACTGAGCAACATTTGCTTGTTTGAAAGTTATGATATTAATCTAAATCTTTTCTCTTTGCAGGTTGCTGGTATGTGTGTTAGTGTTGGACCTCATATTGCAATGGAAACAGGAATTGATGTACTATTATGTACAATTCAATAAAACAAACCAAACATCATTGTTCAATTATTTAATAGCAAAAATATAAGTTTGTATAAACTGGAGATGCAGTGACTTTTTTTAGCTCTTGAAACTATACTACTTTCCTGGTGGAGGTAAAGTGCTCTTGGACTATCACATTTGTATAAAACATAAGGCTGACTCTTCATAGTTGAGTGAAAGAAGAATAATTAAAACCATCATAAAATGTGTCCTTAACACCAGTAGTAGCTCACTCATGACAGACTGTAAAGGTATTTAATAGAGCTTCAAAGGCTCTCTTGCTGACAAGTGGTGGAAGCAGGTCCTTAAAATTATTTTATGAAAACAAGTTTAGTGTTTGACATACTTTGGCATTGATAGACTTGACTCTTACCCTGTCAGACAGCTTTCCTCTCTGTGTTAAAGGTGTTCAGACATTCCAACTTACATAATTCTAGTTTCTCCATGTTTTACTGCCTGCGTATATTGTGAGGTCCTGATTACTCTACTTCTCTAGTCACCCAAGGACAAGCTGGCTAGTTCTGACCATATGTAGCTTGCTCTGGCTACTCTCTTCAGAGCTGGTTGCTCAGTTCTTCTTTAAGGCCATTCTCCATTGGATTAGGGCCTCCCTTGTGGGGGTGGGTAGGTAGGTAACTGCCTAACCATGGAAACAGGAGAGCTACAGCAGGTGCTTGGCAGCTCTAAGGATAGCATCCAAAATCAGGAATCTGCCAGGAGCCAAACTAAGGACTGCAACTCCATTTAAGAACTGCCCCTTCAGCATCATCCTGGGGGCTAAAGTAGACCTAGTGCCATTGCTCTCACCTCCAGCATCACTGATTGAGTGGATTGCTTTGTTTCCCCACCTCAGTCTCATATTAGTTGTGATTCATTTTCACTATTGCTAACTCCAAGATTTCCAAAATCATAAGTTAACCAGAAATCTCATGGGAGCATTTTAAAACTCATGGTGTTTTAATCAAACATTTAAGATGTTTGGACTGTTTTGATAATTTAACCTGTAGGGGGAACCTACCTTCCCCTTGATGGATGAGCATTTGAGGATCAAAATTCAGTTTAAATGGACTCAAATGTAAGTCACCTCTCTTCCCCACCTTGGAGGAACATTTACCCTTTCCTAACCTCTGGGATGGGGGATGCTACCTTTCTCCATTTTCCCATTCACTATCTTCTCTCTCTACAATACTCAAACTCGATCTCCTAGGCCAAATTCATCTCCCATTTCCCTTCACTGCCATGCTCTGGCTGTACGTTCTTGGCTGCCTCATTAGTTCTCTCCTGTCGTTATCCTTTCCTCCCATGCTACCTCTACTCTTTCATGTTCCCCAGCCCTGCCCCTTGCTGCATTGTCATCAGGAGGGAATGAACCTGTGACACTGGTGCGAAACACCTGAGCCTCTTGCCTGAGCTAAGACTCAGTGGTTCAGAAATCTGCAAGTGTTATGTCCTCAGCCACCATTAGAGGGAGACAGCACCACAATTACAACTGCAAGGACTATCCCACCTTCAAATGTTTAACAAACCAAATTATAAAGATTTATGGCCTTGCTGCTGTAAATACATAAATTATGCATAAGGCTTTTTCCAGCTAGGATAAAGGTGTAAAACTGAAATTTTTAGGCAAAGCTGCTTTTAAGATAAGTGAATAAAAAAAAAAAAGTAAAAATTTTCAAAAAGTGAAAAGATGTTTCTCAACCATAATGAGAAAATGAATTATCTGACCACAACCCACCCCCCCCCCCAAAATTTACCTAGAACACAGGATTAAGGGAAAAAATCAGGACAAGTGTTTTGCAAAAGTCGGGTGGGAAGGTAGCAGGGCTCATAGAATGGAAACTGGTTTCTATTCTTAATTATGAAGCAATTACAACTCCACAATGTGTGAATTCTAGAAATAATGGTAATGAGCCAAAATTTTGCCACCAAAACTCACATAGATCACCTGTTGTGTGTGGAAGAGGTGTCACTTTTGGGGGGTGGGGGGAAGTAGGGGGGAGTCTCCTCTGCAGTATCCTCTTTGTCCATTCCTTTTCAAGCTCTCCTAGTATTTTATAAAATGAGTGAAAAAAATATATTGGTAGAAAAACAAAATGGAAGAGTCTGGATATGGTAGTAGGGGAGTGGATTGGGGAGGAATGGGCTAAGTGGATTTTAGGGCTCTGTGGGATAGAAAGAGAAAGGGCAATTTGAAAAGGGGAAGTGAGAAAAGATTATTAGAATTAAGAAGATCGTGCTCTCGCTTCACACTAGTCCACTCACCCATTTTCTCCAAACCTCTCCCCTCATTTCCACACATTTTGAATCCAAACCAATTTATTCTCTCTCCTCCCACCACTTTTTGCTTGTCAAGTAGGGACATTACAACCATATTGTACATAACTGATGTCAGAGAAAGGGTTAAGGTGGCTTTTTTTTTTGAATGTGTAGGGAGAATTGTCTACTGTCTTAACTGTTGGGTTTCATGCACAATTTTCTCCTATTTGAAACTTATTAACTATTGCTCTTCATACTAAATTACGTATCTTCATTTCTCCTGGGAGGTTACTAGCATGTTTTTCTCAGGGTTGGACCTGCTTCTATTGCAACAACATGAAAGAAATGAATGTCCTCCTGTAACATACAGTCCAATAAAATATGCACAGAATATTTTTAGTCTTTATTATAAAATATCAAAAGTATAAAACTGTACAAAATACAAAGGCAGAATGTGGCAGTGCTTTTTTTAGCTGTCAAAGTCGTAACTGCTTCCTGTTGCAGGTCAAGTGTTTCATATACCGTTTGATTTCACTGTATCTGTATGAAAGTCTGACTGCTCTTATCTAGCACTGAAAGGAAGTTTAAATGGAAGTACAAGTACTGTACCAACTCGGCCATTAAAAGAGGGACTCAAAGTTAATAACGTAGTTTCAAAGCTTTCTTCCCTAATAAGTGTTCTTCAAGGTGAACTCCCTACTGATTAAGTTTCTGCACTTTCTGTAAAGCTGCTGCTTTGGGGGGGTAGGGGGGTCCCCACTTGCTTTACCTTAGAAATGTCAAATCTTACCTTCCTTGTTTTTATTAGATTACTGTATATGGCCTATGAGCTCTAATTCCCTAAATGAAGTGATAAGGATGGTGAATAGAGCTTTCCTCCCAGGTAACCTGCAAAAGATTTGAAAAATTGGGCCTGTGTCTTTTTGCTGCTTTAACTTTTATAAAAACAGAAGGGATTAAAAAACAAACATTCTGCTTGTGTTTTACCTTAGAAATACCAAGAATCTCAGGTCTGCTAGTTTTGCAGAAGGAGTTGCAGGTAGTATCGGTGATGTTTACTGGGAGAAGAGCACCTTAACAGAAGGGATGAAGGTTGAGTCTTTTAACAAAGGCTTCTTCTAATTGAATTTAAATAAATAAATATTAACTTTCAATAGTTTCAATCTCTTCTCTCAATTTTCTAGCTTCTGCAGATCCTGAATTTCTCAGACAAAGCAAGGGGATTAAAAAAAACAAAACTCTTCAGACTCCCTCTAAATATAAAAGGGCACAAGCCCAATATTTTTCCTTTACCAATCACTTTTCAAACAGGTGATAAGAGTATTTCCTGTTATCTCAAAGTCCCTTCTTTCTTCTCCCCTTACAGGTGCTTAGTTTTTACTACTTTGGTACTTGCTTAGCCACCCTGGAAAATGCAGTGATGACAAAAGCTGCATTTCTAGGATATCAAACTAGCAAAGAAGTTTGAAAATCTTTCAGGCCATTATGTATCAAGGTAAAATCCAGGCCTCTACCACAAGTAGGGCATGGAAAAGGTAATGTTCTGGCCACAAATACTTGCTACTCAGCACAGGTTACGAGGAGTTCTCCTAAATTCATCTCTTCTGAAATTATTTGAATAGTTTTTGCCTGTCACAGACTGATTAAATGTTTCCCAACAGTAAACTAAGTGCTTTTAAAAAATTGTTCAAGAACATGTACTGGGACCCTTAACTTTCCAAAAATTGAAGTTTCAGCAGATCCCATTACCATTTCTCCTGATAAGGAAGAGAGAGCCATTTCCACAATTATTTTTTATCAAAAAAAATCAAAAGCACCATAACAATTCCTTCCCTTAAAGCTGTGATGCCTTGTCAATTTCCAGCATTTTCAAATTGTGGCTAAATATGAAACAGTAACTGAAAAGACATTGCTTGGATTGTAGTTTACAGTTTCCCCCACCAACAGGCTAATGCTGTCCATTTGTATAAGATATTTCTCCATGTCTCAAATCCTGTAGTAATCCTGAGGTCTTTACTTCATTGCCTTGCACAGTCTTACAGCTTCATGGTTTATTGTGGACTATATGCTCCTGAAGCTAGTAGCAAGTTTCTGCGGGTAAAATGGATGTGTATGACTGGGGTTGATTTGGTCATGTATGTACCCAACAGCAAGTCCTGTGAGTTTTCAGGCAGGTTTATATGTCCAGTGGCTGTAGTAAAATCATCAGTTTCTAAGTCTTCAAATACTTTCACAGCATCCCACAGCCGGACTGTGTTATCCATTGAACCTAGGAAGAAAGTGGGGAGTTAGAAAAAACTTTGAATTGTATCAGTGCATAATTTAAAAGCAATACTTAAAGACTAAAAGTCAGCAATATTCTCTAGTATGTAATTACCAAAGCCATAGTTGCACAGATTGAATTGTAATGAAGTTATGGTGAAACAGCTGCAAGAAGAAAAGGAGTACGTGTGGCACCTTAGAGACTAACAAATTTATTTGAGCATAAGCTTTCGTGAGCTACAGCTCACTTCATCGGATGCATTCAGTGGAAAACACAGTGGGGAGATTTATATACACAAAGAACATGAAACAATGGGTGTTATCATACACACTGTAAGGAGAGTAATCACTTAAGATGTCGCAATATTACAACAAAAAGACTTCAAAAACAGACTCCAACGAGAGACTGCTGAATTGGAATTAATTTGCAAACTGGATACAATTAACTTAGGTTTGAATAGAGACTGGGAGTGGTTGGGTCATTACACAAAGAAACTA